CTAGACAGAGAACCCTGCAGCAAGTTGACAGTTTTGAAAGAATGGCTTTGGGGTGGGGTACTCCCTCTCCTCAGCCTAGTCAGTGAGTCTGCAATCCATAGATATCCTGTTTTAGCATCGGCTGGGCTGGGGGAACTTTCCTTCTATGACCCAGCTAAATTTTGCAGAGTCATTAGCTGAGCCTGGGGGCTTTTTTTCTATGGCTCAGTTAAGTTTCTCAGCATAGTTTAACATAGTATGTGGACATGGGGGTCTTTCAAGTATGGGGGGCCTTCACTTCCATTTAACATGAGGCATCCCGGGAAGAATCTGGCCGCCAATGCTGGTCAGCAGTGGTATGTGATTGAGCATCAACAGTCAAAAAATTTAAAATGTATAATATAAAAGACAAATGGTCTCTGGGGGCTGAACCATATTCCCCATTTTTTGTTTTATGCAAATAAGCTTTGAGCATACGATTTGTTTGCTTTATTATAGTTTGTCTTTGAGAATTATAAGGTATTTTTGTTTTTTGAGAAATAGAGAGCGTAGAACAAAATTTAGCAAAACCAGTGTTGGTGTAGGCTGGTCCATTATTAGTTTTTTTATAATTTTTGGAATTTCCATGTAGGCAAAAGCCTGGAGACAATGACTTTTAACATCCCGTAATTTTTTTTTTGTATGAGCTGAGGCAAAAACAAGATTAGAATATGTATCCACGGTTACGTGAACATATTGTGAACATATTGTATGTATCCAAAAGAAGGAACATGGGTAACATCTATTTTTCATAAATGATTAGGAACAAGCCCATGAGGATTAACTCCCAAATGGGGAACAGTTAAAAGTTTTGTACATAAAGAGCATTTTTAACAATATCAATGGCTTGTTCTCAAGATATTTTAAAATGAAATCTTAAAGACCCAGCATTGAGATGAAAGTGATTATGAGCTTTTTTTGTAGCTTTATAAGATTTTTGACTTACTGCATAAATTTGTCAAGTAAGCTGATCATTCAATGTATTTTTTTCATTTAAGGGACCAGGCAGGTCAGTATGAGCCCGTAATGTCCTACGTAAATGGGAACAGATCGGGCCCAAAGTAAACTTTGGATAGTCAATGAGTGTATCTGGACTCGAGATACAGAGGCAATATAAGCTGTAGTTTTTAAAGGTGTAAGAATTCTGTTTATATACTGACTGTTAGTAAAAAGGTTAAATGAAATATCAGCATATTTTTTTAAGGCCATTTGTACAGCGATCAATTTAGCCACCTGAGTGGATTTAGTATTAACAGGCTGAATATCAAAATCATGAGGGGATGCTACCACAGCTCTCCCGGTGGAAGAACCATTAGTAAACATATTTCGTGTCCCTGCCACAGGCTGTAAAGAAATAACTTTAGGGAAACATACCGGATGATTTTTTGAAAAAGGTGACCAACTTATCAGAAGGATAATGATTATCAAACTTGTAGGGATTAGTGTATAAAAATAAAGTCTAATCTTTAGCAAAATTTTGTAGCCAAGTTATTTTTGTTTGGGTATATGGTGTAATAACCTTATCAGGTAACATTTTAAAGGTTTGTAAACTAAGTTTATACCCTTTTTGAATAACATGTAGCATGGCTGATGGGTATGAGATAACAATTTTTACAGGTGACACATGTTTATGTACCCACAAGATGGGTCCTTGTTGCCAGAAAAGTCCAGTAGGACAATGTAGAGATGGAAAAATCATCAATTTACGAAAGGAAGTTGGATCTGGATTTTCCTGTAGAATGTCTATATAACCATTTGCTGCTTTAAGATCTTACAGCAACCTTCATTTACTAGACTACTTTTAATAACAAAGATAGGAGTATTTTAGGGAGAAGTGGATGTCACTATGTATTCTGCCTCTAGTTGTTTTAGGAACTCATTCTGTAGACCAGGTTGGCCTTGAACTTATAGAGATCTGTAGGTCTCTGCCTCCAAAGAGCTGGGATTAAAGACCTGTGTTATTACATCTGGCTTTTTGGGGGGGGGTTGAATAACTATCCCTTTACCCCCAGGGCAATTTTTTTAATGTGTCCTGATCATCTGTATTGAAAATAATTTTTTTATTTAGTTTTATTTTGACCTTTCCTAGGGGCAGAAACAATTACTTGACCCATCATGTGAGTGTCATTAATGTTTTTGTATAACCGGATGAAGTCATTTAATTCTCCATTTTTATGGGGGTGTAAAACCTCTTGACAAAATCTGTTAGCATTTTTATAGGCTAATTGCTTTATGGATGGCATAGCTGAGTTCACATTCCCAAAAATGTGACTTTTTATCTGTAGCAGACGGCCAATAAACTTTTGAAGAATAAAGTTTTGAAGATCCTTGAAGAGTCTTAGAAAGCTGATTTTTGTTAGGTAAAGTTTTTTTAAGCTTTAACAGCCACGGCAGCTATCTGAGCATAAATCGTAGGATCATATGCGATCTGTGCTGCTAAGCCAGTATATTGTTCTTTACCAGTTAACATGTCAAGGTTAAGTTGGGGGAAACCTGTGATGGCATTATTTTGTGTGGTCTTTTGTAATTTTTTTATTTTACCTCTCCATAACAAATAATCTCCCCATGAAAGACAGGCTTTGTAAAACTGTCTTTCTTTTTTTATTAACTTTTTTTATCAGTAGCAATCTTCTTTTTTAAAGTTTTTTTTTTACATTTCTTTTAATACTTTAAACTTTTTGTTTTTTAAAACTTTTAATAGAATTCATAGATTTTATTTTTTAAATCTCCTCAAGGGTTTTGTTTAAATTTTTTAATTGTTTTTTTACCTTTATATCATCATTGAGAAGAGCATCTCTGACTAAGCGCCATAGCGAAAATATTGCTATGGGGAATTCTTTTGGCCCTTTCTCTTTTAGTGTATTTTTAAGGTCAGCCTTTACCTGCTCCCAATCAGTAATATTTAAACCCCCTGCATGTAGAAACCAGGGACTAAACTCTAAAACAGTCTTAATGATCTCTTGTGTCATCCCAACTTTAGTACCAGTGTCCTGTTTCTCCAAAAGAATAACAATTGGCCTGTTAACCGGCCCCTTAACATTGGAGTAGAATTATTTGTATCCATAACCAATACATTCTCATCACTTACCTGTTGGTCAGCCTTTTGAGGGCAACCTCTCAGGGATCCCTACTTCCCTATCTCACAGATGGGTCTCCGACTGTAGCTGCTACTGATCCCAGCGGTGCCTCCAATTTTAACGCCCGATTCTGTGTTACACCCTTGGTACAGCTCGCGCGCCAGTGTACCGATCGCAAGTCGGGCAAGGGCCTGGAGATCGAAAGAACACACAAGAGACCTGGGTCATTCAAAAGGAGATCAGCTGAATGCCGTTTATTCAACTTTGGGGAAATCCTTATATACTTACCTGCTGCACAAGGATTTCTGCCCAAGCAGGTGGGAAATTACCATACCAAAGATTAAACAATGCCCTACAGCTAATCACCAGGCAGGGCAGAGGGAACACAGGAACAAACAGGAAGTTCTAGCTGGCTGACCAGAAACTGTCCTCAAGATGCACCCCAGGAACAAGGGTAGACTGGGCCCTACACCCAAGTGTGCTTATCACCTGGTCCAGGACTTCCTGAAAAACACCCAAGTTGCCAGGTAGGGTGGGCTTTTAATCACAGCACTCTGGATGCAGAGGCAGGTGGATCTCTGAAAGTTTAAGGCCAGCTTAGTCAACAAGACCTAGTTCCAGGACAGGCTTAGTTACTGAGATTTCCTAACTCTCCCTCCATCCAGAGCTACTCCATACTTACTAATATTAAATCACAGCTTAGTATTTGTGCTATGCCCACTATCCACCCCACAACACTTCTCCAATAACCCCTCCATGTCCTCTGACCTCCTTTTCTCTGCTTTGAGATACTTGCCCTGTCTTCTAACCCTTTTGCCCATATACTGGATCACCCCCTGAAAAAGCCCCAGATTGTTTTACAGATGGGGAGAGGATAAAATAAACCCCATACCCAGCAGAATGTGCTGTACTTCAAGGGAACCCTGGTGCCAAGGGGCCCAACCCCCAGCAGACTCCCAGGAAGTCAGAAGCTGGAGAGGAGATGTGGGGAGGCAAACTATTGAACAGATGTCCAGACACACAGGGGAACTGTACCTGAGGGACAAAGCTTAAATCTTCATTTTATTTTCCTCTCTGTTGGTTGTTCTTCCTCTTCCTACTCTTTTCTTTCTAATTTATTTATTTACTTATTTATTTATGGTTTTTCGAGACAGAGTTTGTCTTGTCTAACAGACTTAGCTGTCCTGGAACTCGATCTCTAGACCAAACTGGCCTTGAACTCACAGAAACCCACCTGCTTCTGCCTCCCGGGTGCTGGGAATGAAGGTGTGCACCTCCAATGCCTGGCCTGTTCTGTTCTTTTATCCTTTCATTTTCCCCTTTTTTCGTCTTTTCAGTTGTCTCCCTTCTAATTCTTTGAGATGGTCTTTCTTATATTTCTTCCCTGATGTTCTTTTTACAACTCTCCTTATTCTTATTTTTCCTATTTATATTTTCCTCTTATTCCTGTTATACCTAGGGCAAAAATTCCCTTCATTTTTCTTTCTTTTTTTTTTTTACCTCATATGAGTGCTCATTCTATATGTACATCAGTTTACTGTCTTTTGGCTTCCAGGTGCCCTCAGTGAATTAATTCCTTCCTGAGCATTTCTCCCCTCTGCTCCTCCCTAGGTTTGTCATAGTCCACCCACACCTGAGAAAGCAGCTGGAGGCTATGGGTGGAGACAAGTGGCTTCTGGCCAGAAGACGGCCCTTAGCTGGCAGCCATAGGCCTGTGGAGACCAGCAGGCGAAGTTTGCTGCCTTTTAGGTTGCAAGGCAGCACCAGTCAGGTTGTGCCTGGTGATATGGTCGGCTGGCAGGTGGTGTCTTCACACCAGGTCACAGTTGTGGGCTGAGACCTGGATGGGTTGATTCTGAGAGCCCAGTGAATGGGGGAATCACAGAGCCAGGCACTAAGGCCATTATGTCTGAGGGCTTGAGCGGCCTGTCCTTGTCCATCAGCAGGAACCACAACGACCTGCAGGAGATGACAGGTGAGAGCCTGGGGGTGGGCCTCCCTCCTCAGGGAAAGACTTACCTGAGGCAGATGTGTTCTGGGCAGAAGCACATGGATGTTCAGCAGGCCACAAGGTAGCATTGGGTTTGTGGGCAGAGCAGTGTGTCCCTGGGATTGTGGACCATGGGCACTTTAGTCCATTCCTGCATCTGTGTGATGACTCCTTCCAGCGTATCACAATGACTCTAGAGAAACTTTAAAGGAGCATCAGCTAACCATCAGTTTCCCTTTACACAAAATGTGGTCATTTAATTTCTTTTCATGAGGTTGTTTCTTCAAGGTGCATACTGGGGCCTGTGATTAATTCTGTAAGCTACGTGACCAAGGAACTGTGGCCTAAGTTTGAATACAGAGACAAAGTTTGCTTGATTATCAGTCTGTTTTTCCAAAACAGAATTCATGGGTCTATAATGCGTCAAACTTCCTTCTTCTTAGTTTTCATCCATGGCAAATCTCACCTCTAACAAAGGGTAAGGTGACTTTTAGTCTATTTTTGCCTTTTTTTTACATCTCTTATTGGAGCAATTGACCCAATAACCTAAACTATTTTCCTAATCATCTTTACTGTCTTAACTACCTGTATCTTTTAGGCGAACTCAGAAAGTTCAATTAAATCATTGATCTAACTGAGCATCATAACTCTCACAAAAATAATCTTCATTATGATCTGCAAGTCAAGTGCCCAGTGAGGAGTTTGGTTTAATGATACCAAAATCAGATACAGCAGGAACACGGACACAACAATCAGGAGGAAGGACAGCAGAAGCAAGGGGATTTTGTAACTCATCCCACCTCATCCCTCCCCTCCCTTTCCCCCCACACCTGGGATTTGCATCTTCAAGGTTTAGATGTTCTATTCAGTTATTTGAACTTCACATGCTCCCTTTCTGACTGTAGCTCCTCTGACGTGGGCACTGGCAGAACCCCACTAGTCCCACAGGCCCACACTTAGTAGAAGCCAAATCCCTACCCTCCACACAGCTTCCCAATGGCAGAACTTAGTGTTCCTACCTGGGCTCTCACACTTGCTTCCAATCTTAGAGTCAATGTATACACTGGTTTCAAATACATCTGCAGCATAACACATGCAACACTTTACTCTGGAGAGAAAGGGGTTTCCTAAGCAAAAGGAAACATCAATAATGAACTCCCTTTTCATACAGAAGCGAAGCAGTTCTCCTTCCCAAGCAGCCATTCCCCACTGCAGGAGACAGCAAAAAGACAAATTATTCTTTACTCAAAAGTAGGTTGACCAATGTCCCAGCAGACTGCTCTGTCATGTTCTACCTCTGCTCCAACAACAACAACACCATCTCCAGAGCCAGTCTTGTCCACTCAAGACACTGCTTCCCACAGCTGTCACCACACACAAGGCACTGGACAGTAAGTCTTGGCTTCTGGACTATGGATGTCATTTCTACCCCTAGAAAGGTTGCAGCCAGTTTCTTCCAGTGGGAATTTTGTCTCATCCATCCTCGTGGTGTTGACATATGCTCATCTACCCATGTGGCATGGAATGCATGGTCCATTCTTTCATGTAAGTGAGATCTGAGATTCATGGGATCCTCAAAGTTAGGCAGTAGATTACTCTTAGTTCAGTAACTAGTAGACCCTGGGTCAAGTTGTATTTCTGGCATCTCTGGTCTTTTCCCCAATACCTATCCTTTATGGATGAAGGAAGAAGAACTCTTTCAGATACTTGTAGGCAATTATAAAGTGGATTTTTGTCGTAAGTTCCTTTTATTTTTTTTATGAGGTTCTCAAAATTGACATTCTTATATTCGTATTTTCCAGAGAAAGAGCTCCAAGGACAATGTTTCAGAATTGTCTTCCCCGTGTCTCCTGCTGGGCTTTACTGCTGCTATGCAGTGATCCTTGTCCTAACTGGAGCTGTGATTGCACTTTCTGTTGCTCTGTCATTGTCAGGTGAGTGACATCTCCAGATCCTGCAGCATTGTCTCCACATCCACACTGTCAGTTACACTTACTGAGCATGGTGAACTAGGCACTGTGGGAAGGGCAGGAGAGAAAATACATGGAAATTCCTGTTCTCTGGGAACTTAGGGTCTAGCAGGAAGATGCAGAGAAGATACAGAGAAGGAACAGCACAGGCTGTGGTGTGCACAGGAGGCCAGGCTCAGCATCCCTGGGAAGAAGCATCCCTTTAGAGAGATGCAGGAGAGATGCCCACCTGGAGGAACAATTCAAGGCAGAGGACAAGGAGAAAACACTCAAGTAGGAGCCTAGAGGAAGCTGCTATAGCTAGGGACAGTGATGGCAGTGAAGAGTAATATGGTTGGGGAAGGCACAGAACACCCCACCATCCCATGATTCATGGTCTCAGTTAATATATTCACCTATGGTCTGAAAATTTTAAGAAGAATGTTCCAAAAACATGTTGTTCCTGAGTTTTTAGTTTTAGACTAAACAGAATAATGTGATAAAATCTTACACATCTTCCTTGCAATAACTGGAGTAAGAATTCATGATATTGTTTTATAAAATCAACTTTAACCACGTCACCCTTCCTTGTTATCCCTTTTACATGTAACACAATGCCCACTCTCACAGCTGTTCACTCTGTACATTATAGGCTGGGACAAGCACTTGAGGGAGTGCATGGGGCTCCTTCTTGTTGAGTTAGTGTGACCTTATTTAATATTATACTTTGTACATCCCACACTTTCCTATAAGTTTCAATTTCTTGAAAGGATCACTTTCTGTGTTACACATGGACCACATTTTCATTGTCTGTTCATCAGTTGATGGACATCTAGGTCAGGTCCATTTTGCTGCTATGGTACATGGGGCAGCAATAGACATGGATGTGCAAGTCTCTGTGTTATGATGTAGCTTTCTGTCACATATGCCCAGAAATGGCATAGATGAATCACAAAAGGTCTGTTTGTAACTTTTTAAAGGAGCCTCCATACTGGATGTTTCAGTTTATTCTCTCACCAGCAACAAATAAGTGTCCCAATTTCTGCAGAGTTCTGAATTTTCTGTGAGATTTCTTGATAATTTCCATACTAACAGCCTCTATCGAGAGCCAGCATATATTAATATGAATTTAATGTATGTGTACATGATAACAGGAAGGCTTTAATCAAAGTTTTGGTATCAAAAATTATTTGATCATGCCATATTTTATATCTTGGTATTTCTCCATAGTTAAGTCCAAAGAAGAGAGTAGTTTTATTTATTTGGTCTTTACAAAAGCAGGATGTGAAGCAGGATCATAGGAAAGCATTCCGTAGGATTCCAGCCCTCAGGAAGACTCCTCATTGGGGTAATGACTATGATTTTGTTCAGGGTATGGTGTCTTTAGTCCCGGTACTCAGAAGCAACAGCCAGGAAGATTACTACAATATCAAGATAAGTATAGTCCACAGAGTGAGATTTAGGCTAGGCAGGGGTACATAGAGACATTCTGTCCCCAAACTCAAAATACAAAGAAAAGAAGCATTTCCTTAGAGTCCTACATGAAGGGTCGTGATAGGAGACCAACATGCTAGCAGGAGTCTCTCAGTTATCAGTAAAGAAAGATGCAGTCGAAACACACACATCACAACAGTGATTGAAGTTAGCCAAATGTTTATTTATGATCTATGATGGTACTGTGTACGTTTTAGTGACAAAAGAGAAAGTGGCCATTGAGAGCCCTGAAACTGATTATGCTACTTGCCCAAGAGACTGGATTGGATTTGGAAGTAAATGTTTTTATTTTTCTGAATACACAAGTAACTGGATGTAGCATGAGGGCCAGCTTGTTGGGGTTTCCGTCCCGCCCGGTACCCCAACAGCCGGCAAATCCCAAAGAGAAATTACACACAGGACTCCATAAGGTTATAAACTGAATGGCGCATTAGGTCAGGCTTCTTGTTAACTCTTATAACTTATGTTACCCCATTATCCTTATCTATGTTAGCCACATGGGCTCAGTACCTTTCTCAGTGTGACAGCTTACATGTTGCCTCTTCGGTGGTCTGCCCAGGAATGCAAGAATGGCTTCCTGCTTTCCAGGATACTCCTGTTCTCATTGCATCACCTCTACTTCCTGTCTGGTTTTCCCACCTATACTGCCTGCCTGGCCAATCAGCGTTTTATTAAAATATGATTGACAGAATACAGACAATTCTCCTGCATCATTTCCCTCTTTTTTTTTTTTTTAAACAAAGGAAAGTACCCATAGTCCATTTGTTGGGAATGTGGGCGTAGTATTTCAGGCTACTTCCTGCTGGTTGGGGGCGCTGATGATCTTATGGGGACCTAAAGAAAATTTAGAGTTATAATCAAGTCCTGACTGGAGTATCCTGTGAGTCTTGATCATCTCAGGCAGTAGTCTTGAATCTGTTCTGGATGTAAAACAGACATCTGGGCCATCTATTCCTGTCAGAGATTTTTCAGGTGGCCTCCCTTGGTCAAAGGTGATTTTTCTTAACTCTGAATAAATCCAGAGCCTCTCGTTTTCTGTGGAAACAAAAGCAAAATCTCTTCTCCAAAGTAACATACTTTTTGACTTCAGTTTTGAAACCAAGGTATTTTCAAAATACCTATCTTGGGTTAGTTCAGCAGTATTTCTAAACAAAAGTCTTTTAGCAGTTGTTGCTCCTTCCTCAGCAATCAAACAATTTAAAGAAAGCATAATAGCATACAGTATGAAGATTCTCTGTGCATTTTCCATCTTTATGTGGCTTTATTTTAACCTCTATTTCTTTTATTTTTACTTTTACTTTTTGAGACAGGATCTTTGTATATCTTTGTCCTGGAATAACACTGTAGACCAGGCTGTCTTTGAACTCACAGAGATCCTCCTGTCTCTGCCTCCCCAGTGCTGGGATTAAAGGTGTATGCTACCACACCTTGAACTCACAGAGATCTGTCTCTGCCTCCCAGGCATTGGGATTAAAGGCGTGTACTACCACACCTTGAGGTCACAGAGGTCAATCTACCTCTACCCCTTGAAGTCACAGAGGTCAATATGCCTCTGCCTCCCAGGCATTGGGATTAAAGGTGTGTACCACCACACCCAACTACTCTCTTTGTTTCCTTTTAACTTTAAGAACTTTAACTTTTAGCCTGCATATACACACTGTAAACCATTTAGAGGTTTTCTTCCTCTTTGAATCTCTCTTTACTGTATATTTTTCTTTTTCTGACCACATGAGCCTTTAATTTACAAAGCAATATGGGAAGCCGTGGCTTTGACAGCTAGATCCAGCTCATTCCTTAGCTTTCCAGACTCATAGCTGAGATACCCGCCACAGCTGTGTTCACTGCCACAACTTGTCGTGTTTCAAGGTCCTTGCTAGCAAGCAAGCTGCATCATTCTGCTCACAGACCACACTCAGTCGGACTGCCTGCCTGCAAGAGTCAGAGTTTGTCCTGGCAGGACAGCCCAGAAAGCCGGCACTTCAAAACAGCACAGCTTTTTTCCTGCTACGACCGAAAAGCATGCGTTCAGTTTTTCACCAACACCGTTTAAGTGTTTCGTGGCAGGACCTCTTAATGAGCTACAAAGTTTTGCAGCTAAAGCTGAGTCAGGAAGCCTCTCTTAGATGAGAGCCTTGCTTGCCTCTAGCAAGCAAAGTAGACCCGAGAAATTGCTGCTACCAACAAAACATGCTTTACTCTATTCTTTTCCAAGCTTTCTCAAGCTTTCTGTGGATTCAGTTATCCACGTCTGGGCGCCATATGTAGCATGAGGGCCAGCTTGTTGGGGTTTCCGTCCCGCCCGGTACCCCAACAGCCGGCAAATCCCAAAGAGAAATTACACACAGGACTCCATAAGGTTATAAACTGAATGGCGCATTAGGTCAGGCTTCTTGTTAACTCTTATAACTTATGTTACCCCATTATCCTTATCTATGTTAGCCACATGGGCTCAGTACCTTTCTCAGTGTGACAGCTTACATGTTGCCTCTTCGGTGGTCTGCCCAGGAATGCAAGAATGGCTTCCTGCTTTCCAGGATACTCCTGTTCTCATTGCATCACCTCTACTTCCTGTCTGGTTTTCCCACCTATACTGCCTGCCTGGCCAATCAGCGTTTTATTAAAATATGATTGACAGAATACAGACAATTCTCCTGCATCAACTGGACATTTAGCCAGACCTCCTGCATGGAGTTGGGGACCCATCTAACTCAATTTGACAGTTTGGCAGTTTGGAGGAGCTGGTAAGAAAGGATCGTGAGTTGGTATGTTGTTTTCTCCTGTGGGATAGGTATTGCCTTGAGATAGATAGCTTAAAGCTGGAACATGAGGAAGGTTACACCCTAGGCTTTGGGGTACAAGGGGCACATGTGAGCATGTACCATTTGTGATGGTTACACATCTGGCTGTAGCCCTGAAAAATATTCTCTCCTGTAGTGCTAATAGTCAACCTGTAAGTCCAAACATACATTTGAGAATTGTGGTTATTATGCAAGTCTTTGTTCAAGCTGGCAGGTGCTGCAAACTTAAGGTGACAACTGTTAATAACTGTCAATACAGGCTTAGCAAGGGACTTCCTCAGCCACAGAAGGCAGGGTGGTTGTTTGTGTGCTATCGGTTATGGCTGTAAAATTCATACACTGAGAATTGAGGGTAATTTAGGCTCCAAAGTTGCTGACTCGCAGTTCAAACCTGCTGCAATACGGAGAGAAGGCCATAGAACAGAGACTCAAGGGGCATCTGAAGCTGAGAGACACATGTATTTGCTGTCTGTGTTTTTGACAGAATTTCCTGAATAGATTCAAGGGGGATTCTGCCACCTGGATCGACCTGCACAGAGAGTCATCAGAGCACCCTTGGATGTGGACAGACAACACTGAATATAACAACTTGTATGTTTCCAGAATGCTTCTCCTCCTACTGTGTTCATGTGTTGTGATTGTGTGAGTTGTGGTTGTGAAAGGTGAAAGGCTGAGTCATGTGAAGAGAATGGAACTGGAAAGGGAGAAACCCTTGGGCTGGAGGTGTGCCTTGGTGCTGGTTGTGTGTTAATGCTACAGCCAGTCTCCAGGAACTCTACATCTCGGAAAATTTACATCTGCTAAAGTCACCTAGTGTTGTTTCACTTTATATCTTTAGCCTGATGATGGCATCTGGAGTAGATACTGTCTGTTCTCAGCACTTGGAAATCTCTCCTTGCTGCTCACTGCCCTTGTGCGATGCAGACAGAGCTGCTAATGACCACTAAGGGCTCTGAAACCCCAGGAAGCCACTGCAGAACTTCTGGACAGGACTTGTCAAACATCTTTGTGCACAGCTGCACCTATCAATGAAGCAGAGATTCCAGGGGCATTGGGAACCTTCTCTAAAGTCTCATCATCAAAGAACACCCAGGGCAGCACTTGGATATGAGCATAGCCATTTTAAAAAGACCCATTTCACTAGAACAGTGAATGTCCATTATTAAAGACTTTTAGCAATTTACTAAGTGTATTTTTTCCCCCTTTCATACATGTGAGAGATTCTTCAAGATAGAATTGAAAACCACCCTTGGGATGCTACACATGGCTGAATGAAGTTCATGTGAACATGGCAGAGAACACCAGTCAAATGCTTTCTACACACAGTACAGGGTCCAACATGGATGAGTGACAAAGGTGTGGTCACCAAATGGAACCCTGAGAATGGAAAAGTCACTGTGTTTAGCACTAGTGCTGGTGATTCCTCATGGACTCTGCCTTTCTGTGATCTGTGCTATAAACAAGCAGTGGACATGAGTGAGATATCATTGCTGGGGGGAGTGCAGTGGTCGACCCTGCAGAAATTTTGATTGTTTTTTGTTTTAGGGTTCTCACCCGAGGAAATGGAGAATATGCCTACCTGAGTGACAGTGGGATCAGCAGTGGAGGGAACTACATATGAAGGAGGTGGATTTATAGCAAACGCAACAGCTCTGCTTTACAGTGTCCAGGAGTCTCTGTAGAGAGTGGGTCAAAATCATCACAAGAGATCTGTAACATTTTATCTACAGCTACAGCTTCATTTTTTAACCTATGAAATTATCAAAATCAATTCATAATCTGTTGTTACATCAGTGATAAAAGCTATCACAGAGGACTAAAATTGCAGGTACTTGGAAGAACATGGGTGATTCTAAATTATATAAGTGTTTTGTATGTGTTTGTACTCAAATCATAAACTTGAATTACAATCACATCATTCAGTAAAATAATATTTCTCTGTGTTCTGTTTAAAGTTCATTTTGTGCCCCTTCTCTTTCAATCCATTTTATTTCAGATAAACAGTGTGGCACTATTTCTAAATAAATAAATACTTTGTCCTGTGGAAATTACTTTGTGTTTAGCAATTTTAATTTTTTTAGTACATTTTAACTCAGTGAAAGATCACTAACACAAATCTTCATGACCAGATTAATTAATTATAGCATGCTTTTTTAATTTGTGTACATGAACTGCGTCCCCCTGAGGTGTGTTTTTTAGAGGTCAGCATGGGAGGTAAGGGAGACAAGATTTTTATGAAACTCAGGATTAGAAGTTTCCAAATAATGGACTTGACAAGTGAAATAGGTGGAGTTACAGGAGCAGAACATAAATTACACAAGAGTCCAACACAGGCTCCTGAAAGAAAGACATGGCTGTAAAGGGGGGAATATCTAGGTAGTTGTTACCAACATGGAGTCAAAAGGTGGTAATAGGTGGTCTTGTAACCTTTTAAAACAAAGATAGGGTTACAAGATGGTTATAAACAACGTTTGGTGACAAAGTCATAATTGCCATTCCTGGAACAGGCAGTACAGAACCATTTTTTAGTTAAGGGTACAGGTGGGCAGTGACCAATCCATGAAAACAGAGGTCTAATCATAAATAGAAATTAACCTATTTTGTCTTTACTATAAGATAGCTTTTAAGCCTAAGATGGAGGCAGACTGGTTCTTCCTACATTTCATCCCATGTCTCAATTCTCCCTCTTGTCTGTGATTCCATTTCTCTGAAAGACAAAGAACTTCATGTGCTTCCTGAATGGCCATTCTACTCTGATGGGTGAAGTTAATCAGTCTCCTGACAAATGGGATCCAGTTATAATTGGGCTTACTGGGAACAGCCGAGAACTGAGAACAGAAATTCTTTTTTAAACTTTTTAAAATTTTTATTCCTTTTTTCGTTGCATAAAAAATACCAATCCAAATTCTCACTCCCTCCCCTCTTCCCAGTCCCCTCCCTCTCCCTCTACACAACCTCCCCTACCCATCAACCCTAAGAGAGTGCCATGTACCCTGCCCTGTGGAAAGTCCAAGGCCCTCCCTGCTGCTTCTTGGTCGAGCAAGGTTTACATCCAAAGAGAATAAGATCACATGAAGCCAGTATATGCATGTAGAAACACATCCCAGTGTCATTATCAGTGGCCTCTCAGTCTGCCCCAGCTGTCAATCCCCTTCAGAGGGGCTTGGTTGTTCCCATGCTCGTTCACTCCCAGTCAAGGTGGAGTTGGTGAGCTACCATTAGTTCAGCCAACTTTCTCAGTGGATGACCCCTTCATGGTCTTAAATTCCTTGCTCATATTCTCACTCCCTCCACTCTTCAACTGGATCTTGGGAGTTCAGTCCAGTGCTCCGATGTGGGTCATTGCCTCTGTTCCTCATCTTTTGTTGGACGAAGGTTCTGTGGTGATACTCAAGATAATCATCAGTCCGACTATAGGGTAAGGTCAGTTCACACACCCTCTCCTCTATTGCTTAGGGTCTCAGCTGGTTATCTCTGTGGGCATTTTTCTAGAGCATGATTTCTTGCTAACTCCATAATGACTCTCTCAATCAAGATATCTCTTTCCTTGCTCTCATATCTGTCCTTCCTCCATCTCAACCTTCCCATTCCCTCAAGTTCTCCTCCATTCCCTTCCCCCCCTCTATCCCCCACTTCTCTGCTCCCAAATTTTTTTCTGATTCCTATTTCCAAGTGGGTCTATATACGTTTTTCTTTGGGTTCACCTTATTACTTAGTGAGAACAGAAATTCTTACCCTTTAGTTTTAATTTTTGTCTTCCTGTAGCTGAGGGGTCAGTGCTGCAGAGACCACCAAGTCTTCTGTGTACCTGCTGAAGTCAGAGTCATCAGACTCAGAAGGAGAGATGAATAGGTACACATTTAATGCAATCTGAATCAAACTGAAAGGGCAAGAGGAGCTTCACACAGGAATCACAGAGTGGTTGAAACTCATGAAAGTTAGTTAGTTTATCACAGTGGCTCTCTTTCTGCAGTAGAGGAGATTAGAGATAATGGGCCAGACAGTGTTTAAATGAATACAATTTGTGTGTTGTTATTTCAGGATATAAGCTATTTAGATGGCTGGGAGCCGGCACGATGAAAAGCAGGCCCGGGCCTCATTACAACGGTTTTTATTTGATCAGTGAATAAAGTAAGGACATGACCATTTCCAGGAAGGTTCGAGGGCACGGTTTTATTGTAGATATGAGGAAGAGCAGCCAGAGGCATCTGGAAGAGTCCACAGTGGGGAGAGAAAGGAGTAGACTAAACCTGGTCAGCAGATTCAACTTGGCCATGAGAGAATAGAGAATGGAGAAGAGTGAGAGAAGAGGACAAGAGAGTGAGATAAAAGAGAGAGCATGGCCAAAATGGCAGGGTTATGTAGGAATGACTGGGAAAGGGAAGCCAATGAGTTGGAGTTTAGAGTAGGGGACAGGGAGAGAGGAGTCACAGGTCCTGAGTGAGCCTGGAGGCCAGCATGCATTATGGGGTGGGAGTAGCATGGAAGTCTGTCATTTGTCCTGAGTATTCTGGACCTGAGAGTTGGTTTATTTGTGTTGGGGTTTTCTTTGATTTTTGGTTTGTTTTTAGTGTGTGCATCTTCCTGTGCGTGCATTTAGGGTATGTGCGCGCGTGTGTGTGTGTGTGTGTGTGTGTGTTTAGCTTTCTAGTTGACTCTGTCTGGCAATTTGAACTCCGGTGAGTTACAGGAAGTTGCTGTAGACCATGCTTCTTATGTCCCAGAACAAAGGAAACTCTAACAGCAGAGCTCTCAATGTATACAGCTAAGGAAGTTCCCTGTGGGCTGGGGCCTGGGGTTTGCAGATCCAGTGTGGTTCAAAGGGAAGGTGGTGAGTGGAGGTGCAGTGGAGGTCCAGAAATTCTCTGGAATTTCTGATTTGTGTTAAATTTTGGAAAGGAAGGATCTTGTGGGATTCCTGTTTCAGTCTACAGAAAGGAAACTGTCTTCTGGATTTTGAAAACGGTCTATTTCTCTCTTTTATTTTATTACTTTATTCCCATTGTCCTTACTTTAATTTTTCTTTGTGCACTTGCTTGCTTTAGTAAAGAATATTGGGTATCCTGAGAAACAGTGCTCATACAATGCAAAGAGGCATGTTTGTGAGGAACATAGATGTTTTCAGATAAGCCAAATATTCTGTAACTGAAGACTTATTACAGTTAGCTAGGCAGAGAAAGGACAGGCAGGGCTGGCAGAAAGAGAGAATAAATAGGGGGAGAAATCTAGGCTGAGAAGAAGGAATGATGAGAGGAAGAATAAGATAAGAGAATGAGAGACAGCCCCAAGGCAAGAAGCCAGCCACCTCCACCCAGTCAGACACAGAAACAATGAAAGATAGGTGTAAAGAAGGAAAAGGTTAAAAAGCTCCAGGGCAAAAGGTAGATAAAGAGAAACAGGTGAATTTAAGTTAAAAGACCCTAGTTAGCAGCAAGCCTAAGTTAGGTCAAATATTTATAATTAATAAAAACTCTCAGTATCATGAATTGGGAGCTGGTTGGTGGCCTAGTAAAAAAGTACAGGCGACCATCATCATTCAATCCACTAACCCAAACTGACACACCACAGCTCCACCAGAATACAAGCCCTCAGGGATTACAAGCTCCCAAACTCCAATTTCACTATGAATTCCTTTGGCAACCTCAAAGATAAAGAAAGGTTCAGGAGGCAACAGAAGCCAGCCCCTCACTGTTGAGGATGCTAGGAAGAATAAAACAGTTCCTTAACTGTCCCCAACTATACATGGGTCAGGACAGCTAGCTATGCCTAGATCCCATGCCCACATATAATATTGGGAATGGAACTGATCAACAAGCTCTGCTTCCAAACCTAACAACTGTAAATGGACCAACTAAGCTCACCCTGGGCGCATCTCAGGGGCAATGGTGCCTATTTAATGTCACCAGGAATCCCCTAGATTGTTCCCCTATGCAGATTTATGTAACCATATACATCGGATCAATTCCAGAAATGGCATCAATGGTATTTCTAGTCCCAGAGACTACCTAGCGTTCTTGTACTAATTTAGATCTCAATCAAGTATATATCATCAGTATTGCTTTCACTGGAGAACCCACTTTGTGGTGACCTTGGACATATCTCTATACTAGAGAAGGAGACAGGACCCGAGTCAGTATTGGACTTGGACTTTTCTGTGTCCTGTGAGCCATCTCCATCTTCATTCCCCTGTAGGTGAGGGGCAGCCAGCACAGCCTCCATTGCTGTTGGAACTTCAGCTCTATTTAGGCATTTATATATAATACTTTGAGAAACTCGATGTTCGGGTAGACATATACCTGAAATATTTAAATAATTCTGTTTCCCATAAGGAAGCCCAGTGAGATTTCTTAACCAGGGCTGCTTTTCAGAATTGAAGAGGACTGAACTCCCTCTTTATGAGACAAGCAGGTCTCCATATGGCACTGGGAGAAACTCATTGCTTTTATGCCAATCTGACAATTAGAGAAAGTTTAACCATGGTCAGAAATAACATTCAGGAAAGTTAAAAGGGCAGAGACATAAGAATCTAACAACTGGTACCAATCTATGTTCTTGTCTACTTAAGGCCATGGCTGGGCAATTAATCCTTTTGCTCCCAGTTCTCACTACAGGACTTAGCTTGCTCAACTGTCTACTCCACTGTGGAAAACAGAATAAATTCTGTTGAAACATGGCACTAAGGAGATCAAATCCCCCTCTGTACACAGGCGACTCCATGATTGACAAATGCCCAAAGATCCACGGGATCTTTGAGGAATGTATAAGGTTCCCCAAACTTAGTAGGTCACCAAGCCTTAGCTCAACTGACACCATGATGGAAGTACCATTGAGGTCTTGGAACTCAACATATAGGCAGCAATGCCTGCCAAAATGAGAGCGTACAAATCATCAAGTTCACAGTTCTGGAAAAGTCTCTAAATGGACCATCTTGGTTATGACTTCTGTAGTTTGCTTCTGGCTACCTGTTTCTGCTAAGTGGATAAGTGGGGTTTGCGAACCGAGTTGGTGAGGGTTTTTTTGGGGGGGGGGCTCAATACCTCATCCTGAGGAAGTCTTATTCCTGTACCAGTGTCACCAACAGCCCATTTATGGAAATGTTTTACCAACTACACATCTGATATATTGCCAATATTTCAAATACGTGTTTGATTCAAAAACAGGACATTAAATAAACAATAAACCAATTTTAAAAGTGTTGTATACATCTCACCAGATATTTTTCAAAAGATGAACACAAATGGCTGCGAAACATATAAGGAAAGGGTCAATATCCTTAGTTATCAGGGCAATGCAAATAAAAACTACATTGAGATTTCACTGTATACAAGTCAGAATGTCCAAGATAAATAAAGAAATACAGCTCCTGCTGGCGAGGCTCTGAGGTTGATACAGAGGGCATGCATGTTTGCACACACACACTCACACACACACACACTCACACACACACTCAAATAGGAAATGGAGATAGGTGGGGGGATGGAGGAAGGGAGGGTAGGAGGGATGGAGAGGAGAAGGTGGGGAGACTGGGGATTTCCTTTCAAATATATAGGAATTGCATAATGTGCCCACTGAGGTCACTTGGAGGCTCTGCTTTGCCTCACAGGAAGATGGCAGGACCTACCATCTTTGGTATTCCATGCTTTGGAATGAAAATCAAGGAAATTACACCCTGGTTCTTAAAACATCCCACAGTGAGACATTCCTACAGTTGACAACAGGAGTCACATGGTCTGAACTCATGGACAAAGGGATATAGAGGCGATATGGCCTCTGTTGTGTTCAGATGTCTAGTGCCCAGGCAGAAACCAAGCTGAGGAGGCTAGGTCTCAGCTGATGGATGCAGTCAGTGAGGGGGATTGGATCATGAGGGTTTAGCCTCTACCAATGAATTAATTCACACATGGCTTCCTAATTTGGTAGCCTTGCTGTTGGGTTAGGGTATCTTTCTGAGATGAGACTTAGCTGTTGGAAGATTCTGGAGCCGTGTATGTCTTGTCCTTGGTTCTGCCGCTGTCACTCCACTGGGCAAGGACCAAGAGTGTTCACACATTAGTGTTTCTTTTGAGATCTCTTCCCAGCCTTACCTGGCCTCTCCTAGAGTCCTCCGCTTAGAAGTCAATGTGAAATGTTCCAGTGTTGTGGCCCTTTCAGCTTCCTGAGGATTGAGTTTTGAGACCTGTGATTCACCCCTGAGTAAGACCACCCCAGTTTGCAGCCTACATCCCAGCACTCATGGGACAAGGGAAATAGAATGTCCAGATCTATAGAGCAGGTTCTGGCTCCACTAATCCACTAAGGCACATGTATGAGGAGGTAAACAAGAACACATGAATAATGTACGGCGATGACATCTGATGATAATTTAGAGCCAGCATCCTAAAATTTTACCCAGAGATTGTTAGTTCCCTTTCTTGGTGGAAGGGGAAAAAGAGAGGAGGCAGCCCTGAATTAACTCTATTTCACTTCAAGGTAATGGAAGACAGATGTAAGGTCTGTCCGTGGTCCACACAGCCCCACAATTATTTTTGGTTTGCTGATCTTTCTATTGGTACAAACCTTGAGAATTCTAATCCTCCTCACTTCCTCCTTAAGTTACTTTCACTTTTCTCCTTCGAGTTGAATGAGCCAGCCGTGATAAGCTAAATATGAACAGATCACCCAAAGGAAGTTCTTTACTTTCAACCATTATCACCTGCCAGAAAAAGACTCAGCCATCATTAAATTTAATAGAGGCCTGAGTCTCAATAGTTTACCCTGAAGCAATACCTGGCTGCAGGAAGAACCACAAACTGAGATTAACCAAGCACCACCCAAGAAAAGACCATCCAAAGGAAATGCCTACATTCCAACTGCTGTAGATTGGATCTCCTACACTCACCAGGACACCCCTCGACAAATGTCAGCCAATCAGGGGTCTTGAACCTCAGAAACCCCTCACCCCCACCTTTATTACTACAAAAACTCACTCAACTCTAACTGAGCTCGGGGCTCTCCGCTTATTCCCATATGTTAGACATGCGGTGAAACCAAATTTTCTACTTGCATAAAATAAAGGCTCTTTGCTTTTACATAAGGAACTTGGTCTTCTTTTTGGCTTTTGGGGAACTTTGAGTATTTGGACATAACACGAGTAAGAAAAATTTAAAAGATTATAAAAAAAAAATATAGGCCAAGAGGTGGTAGTGGAATCCTTTAATCTCAGCAATTGAGGGACAGAGGTAGGTGGACTTCTGTGAATTCGAGGTCAGCCTCATCTATGGAGGAAGTTCTGGGACAGCCAGGGCTGTTAAAAGAGAAATCCTGTCTGGAAAAACAAAACAAAATAGAGAGAAAGAAAGAGGAAGAGAGGAGGAGAAGGAGAGAGGGAGAGAAAGTTATCACCCATAGTAAACATGCCACCCCTAATGACTGAAACAAAGTCTACAGTCAGACCCTACAACTTTGTTTGCACTGGAATATTGTCACCCAGTTTTGTTTATTGAAATCACCTTAGTCGTGCAGGGGCTGGCCACATGCCACTCTTCCTGGGTGTTCTACAAGACCTGCCACCCAGGTGTGCTCAGGGGGCTTCCTTCTGGAGAGCTTGGCAGGGCCTGCACTGAGGTCTTCAGCTGAGGAACTCGTCGGCATGGAGTTATTTAAGTTTATATATTTACATTTTTTTCCCTTCCCATTTTACTAAAAAACAATCTTCTTAGGCCTAGAAAGCTGAACTGTGAAGATGACAAATGACAGGGAGCTTAAAATGATCCCAAGTTTCCTGACAAAATCTCACTTAACAGTCAAAGTGGTTTTTTTGGTGGAAGCTCCACCTCAGCCCCTGGAGTTCACTTACACAACCGCTCCCCGGGAGCTATTTGCATATTGCTTGCCTACTTGCTGTGGGTTGAGAAATTTTGATTCTTGCTTGGGGTTCCCATTGAGGCTGGAGGCGAGGGGCGTGGCTCGACAAGAAGCTGGAGTCGGGTCGCTGAGGAGGATGAGAAATGCTCTAGGGTTGGTCCACTTCTGCGCGTCCCCGCCCCGGGACCGCCCTTGTTTCAAGGATGAAACAAGTAGGAGGTGGTGACCGAGATGTGGGCCAGTTGATCAGGAGAGCCCTGTGAGTGAGGGAGTGCAGAGCCAGCACTGAGGCCTTGATGTCTGAGGACTGTGGCGGTCTGTCCAACAGCAACTACGACGAGCGGCCGGAGGAGATAGGTGAGAACCTGCCAGCGTCCTTCAACGGGGACGACGAAGACCTCCAGGAGGTGATAGGTGAGAACCTGCCAGCATTCATCAAGGGGAACAACGAAGAGCAGCATTTGGTAGAAGGTAAGATCTAAGGGGCTATGCGCAGGGACTCTGGGCACAAGCCCCAGGCACAGGGCGTGCGCCTGGGGTGGGGCTCCTTCCGGGAAAGACTTACCTGAGACACACATGTCCTGGGCAGGAAGGCGTGTGGATGGGCGGCAGGCCTGGTTAAGGTGGCAGTGGGGTTCGTGGGCTGAGCAGTGTGTCCCTGGGATTCTGGACCGTGGGCACTTTAGTCCATTCCTGCATTCACACAGTCCACCGCAACACTCTAGAGAAACTTTAAAGGAGCGGTCAGCTAAACATCAGTTTTCCTTTACACACAATAGCGTCATTTAATTTCTTTTCACAAGTTTGTTTCTTCAAGGTGGATACTGGGGCCTGTGATTAATTCTATAAGCTATATGACCAAGGAACTCTGGCCTACCTTGGGTGCAGGGACAAAATTTTCTTGATAATCAGCCCGTTTTTCCAGAGGCAGAATCCATAGGTCTATAGTGCATTAAACTTCCTTCTTAGTTTCTATCCTTGGCAAATCTCACCTCTAACAAAGGGGAAGGTGACTTTTAGTCTCTTTTTGACTTTTTTGGTATCTATTATCGGAACACTTGGCCAAATAACCGAAACCATTTCCCTAACCATCTTTATTGTCCTAACAGAGAGTGTCCAATTGAATCACTGATCTAACTAATCATCATTGCGTTCATAAAATAAAATCATCAGTGATCTCATAAAGATCGTCAAGTAAATTGATCAGTGAGGAGTGGAATTTAATGCCACCAAGGGACAAGTTCACAGCAAGCAGAAGGAAGCACTGCACAAGCAGGCATTCTGGAGACAGTGGTCAGTTTCCCATCCCCCCCTCCCTGGAGGGTGGGTGGGCTTTGCTGAACAGGCCTTCAGAGTTTGTAAAGCAAAGTAGGTGTCCGGATTCCTAGAGGAAGGAGGAACCTGGGCATGCTTGGACATGTCACTGCCATTCAGTGCACACACCTCCCCTCACCTTCCTTTCTGGACTCCCACAGTAGACCCCCCACCCCCCGCCCCGCGTGCTTTTTCATTCATAACCTCCAGGCTGTCACAAATTCTCCCCTTTCCTTAGGACACAGGTGTACTCCTTCAGGTCTCAAAGGATTCTGTGGCATCAGGGAATAATCTCTGTTCTACTTTACCTAGTGTTGCATCTCAGGTTTTTCAGTAGGTCGGGAATGAGAGATTGATCCCACCTCTAAATCCATCTACAGTTTCAGTTTATGGTAAATGATGGGAAAAGGACATTGGAGATTGCTATTTTAAAACCGTATCCTTTCATTTTGAAAAACGTTTATGTTTCATTCTTTAAATCTCTTTCCCTTTAATTTAAAACTTTTCAAATTCATTTTACATGTATGTGTGTTTTGCCTGCTTGTCTGTGCACCACATGCATGCCTGCCGTCCACAGATATCAGAAGAAGGTGTTGAATCCCCTGGACCTGGACTCAGGCAATTGTGAGCCACTGTGTGGGTGCTGGAAATGAACCGAGTTCTCTCTCTACAAGGGTAGCAAATGTTCTTCATTGCTGAGACATTGTGTATTATAACACTATAGCTTTGGAGCCTGTCCTGGAACTAGATCTTGTAGACCAGGCTGGCCTTAAATTCACAGAGATCCGCCTGCCTCTGCCTTCCGAGTGCTGGGATTAAAGGCATACACCACCACTGCCCGGCTCCAAGATTTCCTTTCTATAGGGGGTGTGAGGAGCTAGGAGGAGAAGCCAGGGGAAATCAGATTGCTCACAGGCTGAGAAGTGCTGGAGCTGGAAATGAGCATGTGAGGATTATTGCGCTACTTTCTGTATTTTTGTGTGACTGGAAAGAGTGAAGGGAGAGAGTTTTGTGTGGACCCAAAATCCAAAGGCCACATTTTAGTGCTTAAAGCCTTCCAGTCCAACATGCCCTTCTCCTCCGCTGTTAATGGAATAGAGGCGTTTTAGCAATTTTAGATATGTGAAAATGAGTAAAATGCAATGGTTAAACTCAGTGGAAATTTTGTAAAAAGTATAATTTGCATTCAGTAAAATTAATTCATTTGTTATAAATTTTCATGAATTTTGAAAGCATCTAATCATGAATTCTTCATCAAGATATATAGGGACTAGAGAGTTGGCACAACCATTAAGAGCATTTATTGCTCCTGCAAATTTGATTTGATTCCCAAGACCCATATGGTGACTCACACACACCTCTAACTCCAATTCCATGGACCCAACACACTTTTCATAACCCCCCAACTCTAGGCAAGCACATAGCACACATATACACATGCATGTAGACAAAACAGTCATGTATATGAAATAAATCTAAAACAATAGCTTATAAAACTATTTTATAAATAGTAAAAGCTTTATATAGCTTATAAAGGACATATAGACTCCCTCCACCCCAGTCCAACTTCCCCATTCTCAGTTGCAGACTCTTTATGCCTCTGTCCCCAGTCCTTACACACTTACTTTTCCAGAATGCCATACAATGGATCCCTGAAGAAGAGACTTCACTCGTGCCTCTTTCACATTGTCTCAGCATTCCATTCTGCTCTTCAGTCAATGCTGTGCCGATCAATAGCGTGCCAGGTACACGGCTGGCTAGATTCTAGGGGACTGTATCCATAGCACCACTGAAAGAAACAAAGAATACTCTGAATTCAGAAGCATGCTAGCACCACACAATCAAACATTATACAAAGAAGTTGCAAAAAAGTTGGCAGAAAACTTGTGGAGAAGTGAGAAGATTAAGCAAGTTGTGGGAGTTGGGGGTTCTTTTCAAAATAAACTGGAAGGAGACTTTTCTGTGGGTCGCTGCCTTTAAGGTTGCTTAAGCTTGCTGATTAGTATAGGAACAGGAATGTCTGAGTCAGAAGCCTTTGGGACATTTGGACTGGTAAAGTGGTGTAACAACTAGGCAAGTAGAAATGACCTGGTGAGCCAGATGAAGGTGGGGGCAGCCCTGGGCACCTGGGAGCTGCCAGAAAGGCTGCAGGAGTGGACTAGGGTGTGTTGGGCACAGGAGGTAGGCCAAGATGGCCCAACCCAGGAAGTACATGGAAGGGAGCTAGTGCCTTGGGTTCCTGCTGTGCCAGGTCCCCTGCTGGGTGTGCATCCCTGTAAGTGCAGCCTGGCAGAGTAGCATGTTCTGGACTAAGTGAAAGCAGGCAGAGGCATGTCTGCCTGAGGAATGTGGGTGCAGTGACTGACACATACACAGGGAACGTGGCAGAAAATGATAGTGCTGTAGAGCAACTCTAGCAAACAGTTTGCTTCCTACAGGTAGAAGATGTATTATAGCATTGTTGAGAATATTTAATTAAAAAATGAATGCAGAGAGCTGTGTTCGGTTGTTGAGTTTTGCTGATCTCTTTGGCTGTGAAGAGCTAAAGCAGAGTGCTGAAAGAATGGAGGAGCTGAGTTCTCTGCTGTGTCCACCAGGAAGCCTTCGTGCAGCTGCCCCAGGACCTCCTGATAGACATTCCCAGCAGTGGCAATCTAAATGCAGAAAAGGAAGAAACAGCTTGAGAAGCTGCGATGCTGTGGCTGGAGTAGGACACAGTCTCACGATCCCAGTATTTGTCTTAGGTTTTAGACAAATCAGAATTGATGCACTTTCAGAAGTCACACAGTGTTCAACGCACTGCCCATCAAAATCCCAGCAAAATTCTTCAAAGACCTCGAAAGAACAGTACCCAAATTCATATGGAAAAGCAAAAGACCTAGGATAGCCAAAACAGTCCTGTACAATAAAAGAACTTCTGGAGGCTTCACAATCCCTGACTTCACACTTTACTACAGAGCTACAGTACTGAAAACAGACTGGTATTAGAATAAGAACAGACAGGAGGACCAATGGAACTGAATAAAATACCCGGATATCAATCCACACATCTTCGAACACATGATTTTTGACAAAGAAACAAAAAATATCAAATGGAAAAAAGAAAGCATATTTAACAAGTGGTGCTGGCATAACTGGATATCAACATGTAGAAGAATGAAAATAGACCCATATCTATCACCAAGCATAAAACTCAAGTCCAAATGGATCAAAGACCTCAACATAAAGCCAGCCACACTGAACCTTATAGAAGAAAAAGTGGGAAGTACATTTGAACGCATTGCCACAGGGAACCACTTCCTAAATATAACCCCAGCAGCACAGACAGAGAAACAATTAATAAATGGGACCTCCTGAAACTGAAAAGCTTCTGTAAAGCAAAGAACACGGTCAAAAAGCCAAAACAACAACCTACAGAATGGGAAAAAATTTTCACTAACCCCACATCAGACAAGTCTGATCTCCAAAATATACAAAAAATGCAAGAAATTGAACACCAAATAATATAATCCAATAAAAAAAATGGAGTACAGACCTAAACAGAGAACTTTCAATAGAGGAATCTAAAATGGCTGAAAGACACTTATGGAAATGTTCAACATCCTTAGTCATCAGAGAAATGCAAATCAAAACAACTCTGAGATTCCATCTTACACCTGTAATAATGGCCCAAAACCCTGATGACTACTTATGCTAGAGAGGTTGTGGGGAAAAGGGAACACTTCTGCATTGCTCATGGGAATGCAAGCTGGTACAACCCCTTTGGATGTCAGTGTGGCAATTACTCAGAAAATTAGGACACAACCTTCCTCAAGACCCAGCAATACCACATTTGGGTATATATCCAAAAGAAGCTCAATTGTGCCACAAAGACATGTGCTCAACTATGTTCATAGCAGCATTGTTTGTCATAACCAGAATGTAGAAACACCCTAAATGCATCTCGACTGAAAATGGATAAGAAAAAGGTGGTACATTTACACAATGGATACTACACAGTAGAAAAAATAACAACAGCTTGAATTTTGCAGGAAAATGGATGGAACTAGAAAACATTTTGAGTGAGGTAACCTAGACACAGAAAGACAATTATCACATGTACTCACTCATAGGTGTTTTTTAAACATAAAGCAAAAAAAAAGCCAGCCTACAAACCACAATCCCAGAGAACAATGAGAGACTTATATAGATCTAATCTACATGGGAAGTAGAAAGTAGAAAAAGAGAAGATTTCCTGGGTAAACTGGGAGCATGGGGACCTGGGTGGGGGGGGGGGGCTAAAGAGGGGAGGAGAGAGGCAGGGAGGGAAGCAGAGAAAATAAAAAAAAAAGAAGTCACACAGAGAGCTTGATTCCAAGGGCTCCCACCCAGTGATAAGCCTGCTGTGGATCAAGGTCTGTATAAGCCCATGGCCAAGGTTTTCAAACCGACTTTGGATGACTAAGGAGGAGATGATGATTTTCATTGAAGCATCATCAGAAAAACCCTTGAAGTCTTACTCTTCTGTCTGTTATAGCCCCCGGGCTGAAAAGGTTTCCAAGTTCCCCAGCCTGCCAGCTGATTTGCCTAAGGTTGGGGAAGTTGTAACCCATGATAATGATATTCATATAGCAGGTGGCCAGGTGCCCCTGAAAAACACAAAAACAAATCACAGCAACACAGGCAAACTGTAGACCACCTTCAGGACTGTGTTCCTTTTACTGGTTTGATGCACAACAAAATGCCTGATTTCCAAAGACACTGATTCTCTTCATCTGTGTGATGCCATCCTTGGTTTGCTATGAAGACTATATCTATGCAATTGGAGGAGACAGTGTTGGTGGAGAACTTAATCGGAGGACTGTAGAAAGATACGACACTGAGAAGGATGAGTGGACAGTGGGGAGCCTCTTCTGCTGTGCTTGGCAGTGGAGAGCAGCCGTTGTGGTTCATGACTGCATTTATGTGATGACATTGAACCTCAGGTACTGTTACTTTCCGAGGTCTGACTCGTGGGTAGAGACGGCCGTGGGACAGACTAGCAGATCTTTTGCTTCAGCTGAAGCTTTTGACGATAAAATTTTCTCCATTGGAGGGTTGCATATTGCTACCAGTTCTGGCATAAGTCCCTTCTGGCACTGTAGATGGGTCTTCAGCAACTGGAAACTTATGATGTAAATAAAACTGAAAGGTAGATGGCGGCCAACATCCCTGCTAAAAGTTAGTCTGATCCCTGTGTTAGAACTGTTGTGATTTCAAATTCTCTTTGTGTGTTTATGCGAGAAACCCATTTAAATAAAAGAGCTAAATATGTCACCTGCCAGTATGATTTGGGACTTAATCGGTGGTCTTTGCGGCAGCACATATCTGAACGTGTACTGTGAGATCTGGTGAGAGATTTTCGATGCACTGTGGGGAAATATCCATCCTGTCTTGAAGAGTCTCCATGGAAGCCACCAGCTTACTTTTTTTTCACCAGATGGAGCCGAGGAATTTCAACTGGAAGGAGAAATGGTTGCAGTTCCCCCTGTATAGGGGAGTTGAGGGGTGCACATGCCAGATTAGGGATATCCTTCGCTAAACCAGAGGATATAAAAGGACTAAGTATGAGTACATAAAAATCTATCTTTGATACATTTTAATTTTATGGCCTACTTAATATTTGCATCAGTGTAATATATATCTGTGTGTTACACAGAAAGATATGCTTCTGTAATATAAAATAGGTTATTTAATAATTGAGAGACTTTGATGTGTATCATGTGATCATAGAGTCTTGACTATTCTAGTTTCTTTTTTATTTTCATAAGTTTGATGTTATGATTTTTTTTAAAGCACTCTCTATCACACACACCCGGAAGTGAAACTGTGTTGCATATATAAACTTGTTCAGGATTTGTTGACATATGAGCAATAGTGAGTGTTTTATTTTATTATGTAGCATTTACTTGTATTGTTCTATTATGAATAAAACTTGGGAGTCAGATAATAGAGTAAAAACTGTTGGGGATCTTCCTTGGACCTGCCCTCTCCATAACCTGCCCAAAGCAAATCTGCCAAGAAGCGGCTCCACCCCTGAGGATATTTAAGGTCTGGCCCATAGACTTCCCCATGTGTTTTGTCCTCTTTCCTGGACTATCCGGGTATTGTTTTGCACAGGGTAAACCTGGACTTAGTAATTTGACCTGATCTGACTTATTGTATCAGTGAAGTTATTCACTACTGGGTTATTTGTACTGATCAGAAAACCTGATTGATCAGAGAAACAATGGAGAAGCAACCAGTGAACCTCTCTCTTCCTTCGTGATCCAAATGTGCTCGTGAATCTTTCTCAGTCCCTTCCTACTACTTCCAGTGTCTCCCTCCTTATATCCTGGCTCCTTCAAGACTTCTACTACTAATCCTGCTCAGCTAGTTGCCTGCTGCACCCCTGATTCTATGTTAAATATTATTGGCAGTCTTGGAATGTCAGTGTGAACAAATATCCCGCAACAATTACATGTTTAGGTCTGCCTTGATTTCTTTCTTTTTTATTTTAAAAACTTAATGCATATGGGTGTTTTGCCTGCATAAATATCTGCATCACTTGCATTCCTAATGCCCACCAAAGTTAGGAAAGGGTGTCATATTCCTGAAACTGGAATTCTAGATGGTTGTAAGCTACTATGTCGGCTCTGGAATCAAACCCAGGTACTAAGCAAGAGCAACAAGTGTTCTTAACCACTGAGTCGACTCTCAAGCCTTGTCTTAATTTATTCATAATTTTAAATGTAGTTTTTGAATATGAACTTTAAAGATATGTACGTTATGGGTTTCGGCATTGCTGTAAATGGTGTTGTTTTAGACATTAATTCTCATTGGACCGGAAAATGCAGCTAAGTTCACCATGCTGACATCATGTCATACATTTTTGTAGACTCATTTTTTACATCCAGTAGTCTTTTGTAGATTTGTTAGAATTTTTGTGGTAGAACCATGTCATCTGTGATGAGAAACACTTCATCTGTTATTAAGATGTGTAAACCTTCTTTCATTCTTTAAGGGTACCCTGCCCTCTCTTAGGACTGGATGGGGAGGGACAAGGGTGAGTGGAGGAGCTGGGAGGGAAATGGGAGAAGGGGAGGAACTGGAAATTTTGAATGGTATTATTTATAAAGCAATAAAAAATTTTTTAAAAAGAATCTAATTTTATGTATATGGCTCTTTTGCCTGCATGTTTGTTCATCACATGAGTGCCTGGTGCCAATAGAGGACAATGAGTCCCCTGGAACTGGAGTTGGCACAATTGTAAGCTACCTTGTGAGCCCTGGGAATTGAACCTGTGTCCTGTGGAGAGCAGCAAGTGATCTTAACTCCCGAGGCATTCTCTAGCCTCATGACCCTGTTTCTTTGCCCTAGCTGGACCTCCTTTGAAGTCATCCTGGAGTAGAGAGCAGATATACTACTGATCCTGATTGCTGGGAAAGCATTCATAACTACACCCTTGGGAGTGAAGCAGACTGCAGTTGGATTTACTGTTGTTTTTAATTGATGATGAATTTTGTCAGGTTGAGGAAGTTCTTCTAATCCTATTTTCATGTAATTTTGCTGTCCATTGATATTTCTATTTTTCCTCTTTTCTTGGTGTGTTAATTGGTCTAATTACACTGAGTTTTCCCTAATGTTTCTGTTATTCCTAACCAGAGCACTTTCTAGACAGAAATCCAACCGACTGTTGTTGTTTTTCACTGTGATCCTCACTCATTTAGGTTCCTGCTCTTTCATGATTCACCCTCAGTTCAGTAACTAGAAGACCCCTGGGAAGTTCTGTTTCTAGCATCTCTAGCCTTCTTTCCACCATTGGCTAGCCTTTATGGACCAGGGTCTTCTTTGAAAGGGGTTTGCAGCACTCTTTCAGATAGTTACAGGGGATTGTAAAGTGGGTGTTTGTGCTAAGTTTCTTTAATTTTCCTTAAGAAATTCTCCAAGCTGGCATTATTATGTTTATATTTTACAGGTAAAAAGCTTCAAGAAAAATTTCTCAGGCTCGTCTCCCCCCTGTCTCCTGCTTGGCTTCACTGCTGCTATGCAGTGATCATCTTCCTCACTGTAGCTGTGATTGCACTTTCTGTTGCTCTGTCATGGTCAGGTGAGTGACATTCTCCAGATTCTGCAGCATTCTGTCCACATCCACACTGTTAGTTACATTTGTTGTAAGGAGCACGAGGCTCCTTTGCCCTGTCTGGCATGGCTAGCTTATACCCAAAGTAATGGCACAGAAAGTGTATTAATTAAATCACTGCCTGGCCCATTATCTCTAGTCTCTTATTGGCTAACTTTTACATCTTAGTTTAAACCATTTCCATTAATCTGTATCATCATGAAGTCATGGCTTACCGGGAAAGATTCAGCGTGTCTGACCTGGCAGCACTATGGCGGCTCTCTCTCTCTCTCTGCTTTCTTTCTCCCAGAATTCAGTTCTGTCTACTCCACCTACCTACATTCTGCCCTATCAAAAGGCCAAGGCAGTTTCTTTATTCAATCAATGAAAGCAACACATAAACAGAAGGATCTCCTACACCAACACTTACTGAGCATTATGAGCCAGGCACCATGGGAAGGGACAAGAGAAAACACATGGAAATTCCTGTTCTCTGGGAACTTGGGAGGAATTTTCAGAAAAGGCTGTGGTGTGCACAGGAGGCCAGGCTCAGCATCCCTGGGAAGAGCACACTTAGCAACCTCTAGACAGAGATTTAGAAGACATATATCTACTAGGGGAATGATTCAATGCAGAGGACAAGGAAAGGAAATCCCAAAGGAGGAGCTCAAGGAAGCTACTGCAGCTAGGGGCAGTGAGGGCAGTGAAGAGTAATATGGTTGGGGAAGATACAGAACATCTCATCCCAACCATGACTTATGGTTTCCATTGATGTCTTCTACCATGGTCTGAAAATACTAAATAGAATGTTCCAGAAATACACGACTCCCAAGGTTTTAGTTTTAGATTGTTCAAAATAATGTGATAAAATCTTGTACATCTATCCTGCCATAGCTGGAGTAAATGTTCCATGATATTGTTGTATAAAATCAACTTTGGGCAGTAGTTGTGCACACCTTTAATTCCAGCACTTAGGAGACAGAGGCAGGCAGATCTCTGTGAGTTTGAGGCCAGCTTGGCCTCCAAGAGCTAGTTCCATGACAGATTCCAAAGCTACAGGGAAACCCTGTCTTGATAAGCAACAAAAACAAAAAAAATCAACGTTAATCACATCAGTGAATAATACACAAGTCTAAACATATACAAAATTTGCCAGTAAGACTTAGTCAGTATAACCTATACTATTATGTACCTCTGTAAAGACTCAGACGAAAAGAAGTGGCTGTTGCCCTCAGTGCCTGTTGTGTTTGTCCCTGTCATTAAAGCCTCGTGGTACTGAGTATTGGTACAGGAAACAGCTACAGCAAATCTACCTCTGCTAAAAATAAGTGTGTGATGTCTAGTATTTAATATTTCTTATCAAATCATTTATTTCTAGGCTCAGTAGCCCTTCAAAAGAGCCATGCAGTCATTTTTATGTATTAAAGGAAGAAAAAGGCAAAGTTATGAAAGAAAAATATTTGTTGTTTTTCTAAGCAGTCCTCTGAAAGCTTGCACATTCAGAGCTTACACACACACACACACACACACACACACTCTATTGTGATAGACTCACAAATGAACACATCACACTGCTTCATTAGCATAGCCACTCCAACACTGGCCAAGTCTCAAACCCTGTGTATCTCACTGAACTTCCACCCAGTTAGAAAAACCATTCTGAAGCCATGGAGCTTTGGTTATGGTTTTAGACTTTCGCTGTATTTACATTTTTATACACTTATTGGCCACAACGAGAAAAAAACATCAGCAAAGCTAAAACTAAAGAAACAAAGATCTTTATAGCCCTATTCATGACTTATGTGTCCTTGATGCATCCTGTCCTTGCTCATCACCTTACATCACCCTTTCTTGTTCTCCTGTCTACATGTTACACCATGCTCACACTTACAGATGTTCACACTGTGTATTCCAGGCTGGGACAAGCATGTGAGGGAGTGCATGGGGTCTATCTCCTTCTGAGCTTGTGTGACATTATTTAATATTATACTTCTTAGATCCCCCACTTTTTTTTACAAGTTTTATTTTTTCTTTATGTCTGAATAACTTTCTATTTTATCCATATATTACATTTTCATTATCTGTTCATCAGTTGATGGTCTTCTTGGTCAGGTTCTTTCGTTATTATTGCACTATTATTGTACATGGGCAGCAGTAGACATGGATGTGCAGGTCTCTGTGTTATGATGTAGTGTTCTCTCATATATGCCCAGGAGTGGCATAGCTGAGTCACAGAAGGTCTGTTAGTAACTATTTAAAGGAGCCTCCATACTGGAAGTATCAGTTTATACTCCCCCAGCAATAAATAAGTGTCCCTATTTCTGCAGAGTTCTGACATCTGCTGTGAGATTTCTTGATAATTGCCATTCTGACAGCCTCTAACGAGAGCCAGCATATATTCATATAAATTTAATGTATGTGTACATGATAACAAAGTCTTCAATCAAAGTTTTGGTATCAAAAAACCTATTTGACCATGCCATGTTTGTATGTTGGTAGTTATCCATAGTTAAATTCAGAGAAGTAAGGAGTTCTCTTTATTTTGTCATTACAAAAGCAGGAAAGACAAAACAGGTCTCAATCAATAATACCTATGCTACTTGCCCAAGAAACTGGATTGGATTTGGAAATAAATGTTTTTATTTTTCTGAAGACTCGGGAAACCAGACATTCAGTCAGAACCACTGCATGGCACTAAGTGCCCAACTAGCTAAATTTGACAGCGAAGAGGAGCTGGTAAGAAACGATCAAAATTGGTTTGTTGTTTCTTCTGTTGAATATTTGCTGCCTTAAGATAGGGACCTTAAGGCTGCATCATGAAGAAGGATTCCATCCCATGTATACAGGGGACTTGGGGAGCACGTATTAGTATGTGCCATTTGTGATAGTAACCCATCTGGCTGTCACCCTGAGATACTCTAAAGACATTCTCTCCTGTAATGCTAATAGTCAACCTGCATGGCCAGAAATATATTTGACTGAGAAGCATGGTGGTCATGTAAGTCTTTGTACGAGCTGTCAGGTATTGCAAACTTAAGGTGACAACTGTTAATAACTGTAAATACAGACATACCAAGGGACTTTCTCAGCCACAGAAGGAAGGGTTGTTGTTAGTTTACTGTGGATTGTGGCTATAAAATATATCCACTGAGAACTGAGGGTTATTTAGTCTCCAAAGTCAATGACCCTCATTTCAAGCATGCTGCCATGCTGAGAGGAGACTGTAGTTTGGAGACACTCAATGGTATCTGATGTCGAGAGACACATATATTTGTTTTCTGTGTTTTATGACAGAATTTCCTGAAGAGATACAAGGGAGATTCTGACCACTGGATTGGCCTGCACAGAGAGTCATCAGAGCACCCTTGGATGTGGACAGACAACACTGAATATAACAACTTGTATGTTTTCAGACCCTTTTTCTTCTTCTGTCTTCATGTATTGTGATGTGTGTGAGTTGTGGTTATGAGAGATAAAGGCTGAGTCATGTGAAGCCAACTGTACTGGTATGGACGAAAAATAAACCCTTGGGCTGGAGGTGTGCCTTGGAGCTGGTTGTGTGTTACATGCAACTACCAGTCCCCAGTAACTCCACATCCCGACAAATTTACATCTATCAGTCTAGTGTTGTTTCACTCCAAATCTTTAGCCTGATGATGGCATCTGCGGTAAATGCTGTCTGCTCTCAGCACTTGGAAATCTCTCCTTGCTGCTAACTGTCCTTGTGGGATGCAGACAGAACTGCTGATGGCCACTAAGGGCTCTGAAACCCCGGAAAGCCACTGCACAGCTGCTGGACAGGACTTGTCAGACAGATGTGTGCACAGCTGCACCTGTCACAGAAACAGACTCCAGAGGCTTTGGGAACCTTCTCTAAAGTCTCATCATCAAAGAGCACCTAGGACAGCACTTGGATGTGAGCATAGTCATTTTGAACAGACCCATTTCACTGGAATGGTGAATGTCTATCATTAAAAAACCTTTATCAATTTACTAAGTACAGTTTCTCTCACTCTCATACACGTGAGAAATTCTTCAAGATAGAATTGAAAACAACCCTTGGGATGCTACCCATGGCTGAATGAAGTTCATGTGAACATGGCAGAGAGCACCAGTCAAATGCTTTGTACGCACTGTATAAGGTCCAACATGAATGAGTAAGAAAGGCGTGGTCACCAAATGGAACCCTGAGAATGGAAAAGTCACTGGTGTAACACTAGTGCTGGTGATTCCTCATGGACTCTGCCTTTCTGTGATCTGTGCTATAAACAAGCACTGAGCACAAGTGAGATGCTTGAGGGAGTGAAGTGGCCGACTCTGCAGAAATTTGTTTGTTTTTCGTTTTAGGGTTCCCACCCGAGGAGAAGGACAACATGCCTACCTGAGTGACAGAGGGATCAGCAGTGGCAGGAACTACATACCAAGGAAGTGGATTTGTAGCAAACCCAACAGCTACACTTTACAATGTCCAGGAGTCTCACAATTTGTGTAGAGAGTGTGTCAAAGTGATCATGAGAGATCTGTAACATGTTATCTACAGTTGCAGCTTCATTTCTTTAACTTTTAAAATTATCAAAATCAATTCCCAATTGTCATCAAAGATGTCATCATCTTTTGATGTGGTGACATCAAAGATGAAAATTATCGCAGACCACTATACTTATGGGTACTTGAGAGACTATGGGTGATTCTAAATTAAATAAGTGTTTTAATATGGGTTGACACTCATATCTTAAACCTGAATTACAATCATATCAGTATAAGTGACCTTTACTTTTATAACCAGACATGAAAATGTTTTCATTATCTTTTCCTTTGAATGACTGGTATATTAAAAAAATGAAGGGAAGAACCAGCCAGTGGTGGCACGTGACTTTAATCCTAGAACGGGGAGGTAGAGAGACATGCAGATCTCTTGTGAGTTTGAGACCAGTGTGATCTACAGGCCAAGTTTCAGGACAGGCTCCAGAGCTACACAGCGAAACCTTGCCTCACCCTCCCTGCAAATAAACAAACAAACAAAAATGAAGGGAGGACAGGAATGAGTCAAGATGGGTGAAACACTGGGCTCCTGCAGGGGGCTAGAAGGGGAGACAGAGGAGTGGACTCTCCCGCACTCTCTCCCTACTGCCCTTGGAATCCTGCAGCAGGCTGCATCACAGGTCTGAAATCACCAAGAAGGAGCCTCAGAGATGGATGTCACAGCTGCTGCAACCCAAGCCAGAGCCAGAGTGTTAGAAAGTCAGGGAAGAATGGCACAGAGAATGGCTCTATCTCTAGTAAATGTGCCCTGGCACATCAGTAATCTCTGTTATTAGAACCTTTTAAAAAATATCTGTAGATTGATTCAAGATGTAGGGTGAGTTTTTGTTGTTGTTGTTTTTGTTCTCCACCTGGAGCCAGCACTGCTGTGCAGCTCCCCTCAGCCCGCAGGTGTGATGGTCACACCTACAGTGCCTTCACTGAGCGCACAGGGATGGGCAGAGACCTGGAACTCTAGTGGATTCTGCCCCAAGATATCCTGCCCAGCCAAAAGATCCCCTTGTCTCTGGGCAACAAGAGCATATCCCAGACTGGTGTTAGTGGTAGTGTATGATCACCCTGGCTCTGAGCAACATCAGTATGTCTGTGATAGAGACCTCTTCATTTTCTGGATTGGGCCTGAAAAAACCTAGCACAGGAAGGGTGGTAAACAGCATCCTGGATTGTTCACAGGCATTCCCCCCTAGTGTATCCCCATGACCACCCTGGCTCTGAGGAATGGCGGGATGCCCAAGGAGAGTGGGGTATTTTCTGGTTTGGGCCATCTCAAAAAACCTCCATGGTGTGTGCTGCCACCACATGCCATGTTGCTGTATGTGGTGTGTGCTGCAGCTGGGGCTGTTCTGGTGTCCATGATTCTGCCTACCTCTGTAGGTCCTGTGGAGGCCCAAAAATGTGAGCCTCTTTCCACATTCTGATATTAGAGAGTTGTAGGTTGCTCAAAGTAGCTGACAAGCATAGTTGCATGTTCCAACTCAGGATGTGATTACTTAATTGTTTTGACATTAAGATAGTCCATACAAGTAGGTCTATTCAATTCTGAAAGGTGGTCCAGATATGCAAATATACTTGTGCTCCTTCTTTTATAACTGTGAGGTCACCTGGGCAGTTGCTGTCTTCAGGATATGTGGTCTAAGGTGCTTTACTGCCTAAACAACAAAATGCTAATGATTTGATGTCTTAAAGTGTTAAAGCACTTAACTGTTTGATTTGTCCTTTCTATCATGTATATAAAGTCTTTTGTTACATTCTCTCTCTACCTCCCCACCTTCATTTGTATTGGGTATAAAAACTTAGGGAAAAATAAACATGGGTCATTTCAGTATTCACTGAAATGCCCTCCTGGCACTTTTCTATGGCTTCTGTTTTATTATTTTTCAGATGTCTTCATATTCTTATTTTTCTAAAACCCCATGCCCCTACCCTGGCAAGAGGTATTTTTGTTGAGGCTGGCCCACAAGGCTCTGTGGATACCCATGGACCATGTTGTTTCTGGAGACCATATGGATGTTCATGATCTGTGCAGTGCTGTGTTGATGTTAGTCGTCTGTGCTGTCCCCTGAGGCCACGTTTGTAGTGGATTGTTAGAAATTGCTGCGGATCCCCGAGTAGCTTGCTGCGGGATCCCCGGTGGCAGCAGGCAGTGTGCAGAGGGTTCCAAGAGCAGCCAGTCCCAGGCAGGGATGGTGCATGAGACCATGCGGCAGGTCTCTGAAGGTGACTGGTTCCCAGCGGTGAGCCATGTGGTGGTGGCAGGTAAGAGACAGATGGATAGTCACACCATGCAGAGTGAGGTTGGATATTTATTAGGTGAATTATGGAGGGGAGGGGAAAAGGGGAGAAGAACAGAGAGAAAAGAAAAGAGAGAGAGAGAGAGAAAGGAGAGACAGAAGCTGGGGAAGGGGCGAAGTGGGGAAAGGCAGAAGCTGCCTCTTCGAGAGGGAGATGGAAAAGAGAGAGAAATCAGGCTGGAAGCTGAAGATCAGCTTGCCTCAGTAGATGAGGGAGGTAGTGTGCATGGCTTGTCTCTTAAAGAGACAGGACAATCATTACAACGTTAGTGTCGGTAGTCTGAGATGCTGCTGGGGGCCTTGTTGATACCATGGTTCCTGTAACCATCAGGGGCCCTGTGGGCTTCTTTGATCTGTGCTACCACTGGAGGCCATGCTGGTTGATATTCATGACTTGGGCCATGGTCTGTATTGCCTCTTCAAGCTGTGTTGACATCCCTTGCCCATGATGTCTCCAGAGGCCAAGCAAGGTTATCTCATTCAGGAAAATAGCATTTTTTCAGTGTTCTGTTCTTAGTTCATTTAGCATCCCTTCTTTTTTAAAATCTATTTTGTTTCTGATAAACAGCATGACACTTTCTAAAATAAATGATTACGTCCTCATGTTGAAATTAGTTTGCATTTAGCATGTTTAATTATTTTATTATACAGTTCATGTTTATCCCAGAGACTGGAGGAGAAAGATCACTGACCCAAATCTTCATGACCAAATTAATAAAAGCATGCTTTTTTATTTGTGTACATGGGGTATCTCTCCCTAAGGTGGGGATTGAGAGGTAAGTATTAGTGGTGAGGGAGATAAGATTTTTATGATGCTCAATGGTAGGAAGTGTAGTTGGAGGCCACTTGTTTGTTTCCTGACTTCCCAGATCTGAAATAATCACACAGAAACTATTACTACAACACTGCTTGGCCTATTAGCTCATGCTTCATATAGGCTAGCTCTTATATCTTAAATGAACCCATTTCTAGCTGGGCAGTGGTGGCACACACCTTTAATCCCAGCACTCAGGAGGCAGAGGCAGGTGGATCTCTGTGAGTTCAAGGCCAGCCTGTCTACAAGAGATTGTTCCATGACAGCTTCCAAAGCTACAGAGAAACCTTGCCTTGAAAAACAAAAAACAAACAACAACAACAACAAAAAATTAACCTGTTTTTATTAATTTGTGTATTGCCATGTGGAAATGGCCTACCAGTAAGGTTCTCTTCAGTATGCAGCATCTGTCTCCATGTACTCTCTCCTCTATCTGCTTGGAATTTCTGCCTTGCCTTATTCTGTGCTGTAGTAGGCTCAAAGCAGCTTCTTTATTATCCAATGATATCACAGAATACAAGGGAGCTTCCCACACCAAGGGAGTTACCAAATGGTGAACTTGACAGACAAAAGAGGTGGGGTTACAGGAGCAGAACATAAAGCGTACACATTAGTGCTACACAGGTTCCTTAAAAACACAGTTGCAAAGTAGGCATATTGAGGTAGTCAGCAACAGGAAGTCAAAAGGTAGAAATAATATCTAGCAAGAATAATAAAAACTGAGAGACAGAAATTGGGGTTCAACCTGAAGATATGAAAAGCAAAGCAGCCAGCAACTGGCTCTTACCTCTACCTCAGACAGAAATGGCAATCCCACTTCTGGGAATCCTCAGAATGAGACAGAGCTGAGACCTGTCTTCTCCTGTCTTATATTCCTTGCTAGTGCTGGGATTGAAGGTGTTTGCCACCACTGACTGGCCTTTATGGCTAACTATTGTGGCTACTGGGATTGAAGGTGTGTGCCACCACTGCCTGGTCTGTATGGCTGAACAGTGTGGCTGCTTTACTCTCTGATCTTCAGACAAGCATTATTTATTAAAATGCAAATGAAATATCATTACAGCCATGTAACATTTTTAAAACAAAGGTAAGATTACAAGATGGTTAAATTAAGACATGATTCCCATTCCTGGAACAAACAGTACAGAACCATTTGTACTTCAGTGTACATGTGAGCATAATCATAAACAGAAATGGATCTATTTTGTCTTTACTATAAGACGGCTTTTAAGCCTAAGACGGAGGCAGGCTGTTTCTTCCTACACTTCATATCATGTATCAATTCCCCCTCCATTTCTCTGAGAGACAAAGAGCTTCATGTGCTTCCTGAGTGACTGTTCTACTCCAATGGGTGAAGTTAACCAGCCGCCTTTAAGTGGGATCCAGTTATAAGTGGGCTTATTGGGAACAGCCTAGGCTTGAGAGCAGAAATTCTTCTCTAGTTTCAACTTCTGTCTTCCTGTAGCTGAGACTCCACTCAGAGATTAGTGCTGCAGAGACTGCCAAGTCTTCTGTGTGCTTGCTGAAGACAAAGCCATTACAGAGCTCCTGCAGGAGGGATAAATAGGTATGTATTTACTGCAATCAAACTGAAAGAGCAGAGAGGAGATTCACAGAGGAATCACAGAGAAGTTGAACCTCATTATTGTTAGTTTGCACAGTGGCTCGCTCTCTGTAGAAGAGGAGATGTCTGGAGCCTCTGTTATGTTAGTAACTCCATTGGAGTATGTCATACTTAAGTATAACTGAAGAGGAGGAAATGGACAGTGAATAAATGACAACTCCTGAGCCCTGTCAGGGAATAAAATGAGGACATGACCATTTCCAGGTAGGTCTGAGGGGATGGTTTTCTTGTGGATATGAGGAAGAACAGTCAGAGGCATCTGGAAGAGTCCACAGTGGGGAGAGGAAGGAGGAGACTAAACCTAGTCAGCAGATTCAACTTGGCCTTGAGAGAACAAAGAGCAGAGGAGAGTGAGAGAGGAGGACCAAGAGAGGAGGATAAAAGAGAGAGCATGGCCAAAATGGCAGGGTTATGTAGGAATGAGAGGCTGGGAAAGGGAAGCTGATGAGCTGGAGTTTAGATTAGGGGCCAGGGAGAGAGGAGCTGAGAGGAGTCACAGGTCCTGAGTGAGCCTGGAGGCCAGCTTGCATTGTGGGATGGTAGTAGCATGGGAGTCTGTCATTTGTCCTGACTTTCTTCTGGACCAGACAGTTTGTTTATTTGAGTTTATATATACATGATGTAGGTGGGCCTTCTGTCTATGTGTTATTTTCATTGGTTAATAAAGAGACTGCCTTAGCCCTTTGATAGGACATAAAATTAGGTAGGCGGAGTATACAGAACAGAATGCTGGGAAGAGGGCAATGAGGCAGACACCATGGAGCCAGCCACCAGGTCAGACATGCTGAGTCTTTTCCAGTAAGCCACCAGCTCGTGGTGACATACAGATTATGAGAAATGGGTTGAATCAATATGTGAAAGTTAGTCAATAAGGGGCTGGAGACAATGGACCTGGCAGTGTTTAAAAGAATAAGGTTCCGTGTAATTATTTTGGGTGTAAGCTAGCCGGGATCCGGGCAGCGGGAACGCAGCTCGCCGTTCCTTATTTTTACAGAGTGGTGCCCAACGTGGTAACTAAATCCACTTAAAAACCTGAGAAAGCTTTAAAAAAAAGAAAAAGAGAGTTTAACACAGCTTTTTGCTGTTTGTTGGCGGAGTGCTACAGAGAGAATTTCCTGACTCAGCAACTTAAAAAAAAACTGCTTGGTTTCAAAATGTGTCTTCCTGGGCCCTTCCTGGACCCTGCTGCTGGTGCAAACTCCGGCTATGGAGCATTTCTGGGCCCAGATGTTTGTGTTCCCGCTCAGGCTTGGGATCGGGAGGAAAATACTGAGACCATGCCTGCTCTCCCCACCTGGGCAGACTGTGGCACGAGGCTTAGGCAGAGGGGAGAGCATGGCGAATTCCTGCTGCCATACAGAAAGATATTTGCAGGCTGTGCAGTGCCCTGCGCATCAGATTTGGCTGTTACTTGGATGAAAAGAGTTTCTGTGCTGCACGTGCAGTCTCAGAATTAAACTGCTGAGTGCGGCTCCAATGTGGACCTGCTGTGTGCCTGGAACTGTGCATGGCTCTGAGGCTGGAGTGGCTCCACTCCGCCATGCTAAACTGTGCTGATCTCAGGCAGGAAGGATCATAATTATCGTAATAAAAGTGCAGTTAAGGTTTAGACTGGGCAGAAAACAAGTGGTACCGTATTACCCCTAAAGCGCTTCACATTTTAAGAACTGCTCCTGGACAGTAAAGAAGTACAGGTTCACAATAGGACAGATTCAGACATAAAACACCTCTAAATGGGCCACAGTGTTGGATGACTGTACATAGGCTTGGGAGAGAGAAGAAAAAGAATATAGAGAATAAAGTTAATGCCTTAAAAAAAAAAGATAAAGTCTTTAAAGAGACAGAGTACAGAGAGTTAAAATAAATAAAGAAAAATAAGCCACGTAAAAATGGAAAATTCACAGAGAATTTGGATTCTGTATATTGTGTTTTCCTTAAAACTTTTTGACTGTGAAGGAGCTAAGTACAGAGAGACATTTCATTATATGGGCTGCCAAGCTAAACCAGAATGGATATCATAAGGGTATTATGACTTCAGAATTTGGATCTAAGGATATGATACTTTGGAAAGGAGGTTCTTCTTTTGTTTTCACAGAGGATGAGACCCTGTGGATTGCTTCTATCTCAATATGGTATGATAAATCACATCCTCCTGAAAGGTTGCTGTGAACACCCTCAAGAAATTCTATCATTCGCCTGCCAACTGAGATGAACCTAGCATACAGGTTATCATAAATGACCTGATTGACAGCGCCCCTATTCAGCAGTAAGAAGTTTGGAGAGAAATAACTACACCCATATTCCCAAATATTGTTCATAAATGTTCTTTTACATTTAAAGGAGGATATGATATAGATATGAATAATTTGCATTGGTATGGAATTTAAGGTCAATTTTTGTTATATGTATATGTATTTCTGATCTTGATTAAGGTACTGTGAATGTGTAGTTCATTTAAAAATGTAATGTATAATTAGGAAATATAGGTTGTTAATGGATAATCATTGATAATAGTCAAGCTTGTAGTCATGTTAGTTAGATTTTCTAGTCATATAGAGATATATTTCAGTTAGATAGGCATTCTTCATAACTTTCAAAGACTACAGAGTATGGCATTTAATGTTTTAATAACTAGGGTTTTCACGACAATGAGACACATCTGCTCTGGGCAGCACCAATCTACTTTAAGAGGAAGATGGGCATTGAAGAGGCTCCTTACGGAGCTTGATAGCCATTTGGGCAAGAAACTACTCTTGCCTGGACTGATGCATAAACTGGATACAAAGAACCCGCAGAGAGAGGACTGCTGAACTTGCCTAAAGTGATCTTTTGGGGTTCCTGATTCATGAAAGAGTCTGCGAGACATTCTGCAGGACACAGCAGGTAGTGACTGAACTGCCTTTGAAATTTCCTGCCTCATGGAAATGTCTCTGGATACTATGGGCCTGTAGGCTGAAGATGTATACCCCAACGGTACAGAGGAACTTTGGGTGACTGTCCAGGCAGCAAGATGTCTCTGTCATTTCTAGAGTTTTGGAAGTTGCTTACTTCTTGTTTACTTAGGTAATATTATATTCTTCTGGAGTCTTTGATGGAGTTGAAGAATGGTTAGTTATAGTTATAGTTTTCCATTATTATGATAAAGTTAAAATAGATATAATATTGTAACTATAATCTTACTCGATAACTATTTTGTTATATGTAATTTTACTATGTTAAAGTGAAAGCCTTTCTTTTTTGTATAAATAGAAAGGGAAATGATGTAGGTGGGCCATCTGTCTATGTGTTATTTTCATTAGTTAATAAAGAGACTGCCTTGGCCGTTTGATAGGACATAAAATTAGGTAGGCAGAGTAAACAGAACAGAATGCTGGGAAGAGGGCAATGAGGCAGACACCATGGAGTCAGCCACCAGGTCAGACATGCTGAATCTTTCCCAGTAAGCCACCACCTCGTGGTGACATACAGATTATTAGAAATGGGTTGAATCAATATGTGAAAGTTAGTCAATAAGGGGCAGGAGACAATGGGCCAGGCAGTATTTAAAAGAATACAGTTTCCATGTAATTATTTCAGGTAAAGCTAGCTGGGCAGGCAGTGGGAAGTGGCCCACCACTCCTTCTACATACACATACACACACACACACACACACACACACACATGTATACATATATATATAATATACATATATATAAAATATATATTATAAAATATATAATATTTTTCTTTATTTTGTTTTTAGTGTGTGTGTGTGTGTGTGTGTGTGTGTGTGTGTGTGTATGTGGGGGGGCGCATGTGTCTGTATTTAGCTTTCTAGTCCACTCTTGATTTGATAATTTGAACTCTGGTGAATTATAGGAAGTTGCTGTAGACCATGCTCATTATGTTGCAGAACAAAGGAAACTCTAACAGCACAGCTCTCAATGTACTCAGCTAAGGAAGTTCCCTGTGAAGCTGGGGCCTGGGGTTTTCAGATACAGTGTGATTCAAAGGGAAGGTGCGGAGGGGAGGTGCAATGGAAGATGAACCCCAACTCCAGCAAATGATATTACCTAGACCTAAAATGACAAAGATTTCATACTCCTTCTCATTTATGAATGCTAGTTTTGAATATTTAGATTTGTGTCTTTAAAATGAAGTACCCACAGATTGTAGGAAACTAGTAAGAGACATAAAGCAAGGGTATTTTTATGATTTCTCCTTACTCATTTATTAAATAAATGGTTTTGTTATTACAGTCTCCTTAATAATAAAAAAATTCAAACATGTCATAGACATGAGCTAAAAGGACCATACAGATATATTATTTAATACAGCATGAGAACCCCAGTTTTCTCTAGTCCTCAAAAGATATATATTTAAGTACCAGTGAGATGACTCAAAATTTAGAGCACATACTGCTTTAGAAAAGTCCTTATATAACAACAAAAAAAAATACTGAAGGAAATGCCAGAAATAACTCTATAGAAAATGCTATGTTCAAATTCTAATCCTAATTTATTAAGCAAAATTTTAAACATTGTTTCAAATAAAATAAAAATTTTATATTACATAATTTGGGAAATTTTAGGCAAGTTTTTCATTCTAAAGACAACAACATAACTATGTAATTATGCTTTCCCATCAGGAACAAAACACAAGGTATCTTCATTCTTGAGGATTATGATGTTTGTAATTTACTTTTAAAAAGAAAATGGCAGTATGGATATTTATCTTATACATTTATCAATTCTATGCCAGAAAAAAGGTTATCTTTGAAAATATAGACAAACTGTATTAAAATTTAAAAATGGAAATAAATGAACAAATGCAAAATAAACCAAAAAAAGTAAAACGAAACAAAACAAAAACCTTAAAGTACAATATTATTTGAATTTTGGAGAAAATGACAAGGGAGACAAATCTGGGCAGCCATTGTGGGTGTGTTGTGGGGGGGAAGAAACATGGAGAGGACAGGGAGAAAATCCTGTTAAGTCAAACACATCCATTCAACTATGAGGAGCAACTAGGAGTCATATGACAGTAAGCAGCAAGGTGGGTCCAGAGAAAAAGTGAAAAAGTCTGACTTTGTCCAGCATCCTAAAGTGATAGAGAATCAGAGCCTGGAGAAGATCAGATCTTCTGATTTAGAACTCAGAAAAGCCAGCGATCTTCACAGACTGCTTGGCTGCAGCTCCACAGGTGACCTCAGAGTGGAGTTCCAGGATAGGAAAATCACAATATCTCAGGAGAGAAAGACTGTCTCCTGCAGCCTCTTTAGCGGGGCTTTAGGTGGATCAGCCTTGCTGAGGAGTGGGCTCTTGGCCAGGTGAGTGACAGGCCCAGCAGGACTTGATCTTTGCCTGCTTGCTTTCCTCATTCCTACACTGACATTAGAGCAGTGTTTTTCAACCCTTGGATCTCTGATGACATAAGTCACAAAACAATCCCACACCAGTTCAGAATTGTGAATAATAAAAGGGTTATTTATTTAAGGGGAAAACTTACAGATTACTGTACTAGACAACAGTCCTCTGTGCGAACAGGAACAGAGTCTAGCAGCTGCTGGAGCTGGAAGCAAGAGAGCTGGTGCACCTTTAAGGCTGATTTTACAGTATAAGAGACCACGCCCAAGTGGGGTGTTATCTTAAAGGCTATTGGCTGAAGGAGCAGAATGTGCTCCCACAGCAGGTCTCTCCTCCTTTGGTGGTCACATATCAGATATCCTGATTATCAGATATTTACGTTATGATTCATAACAGTAGCAAATTACAGTTACAAAGTAGCAATGCAATTCATTTTAAGGTTGGGGGTCAACACACCATGAGAAACTGTATTAAAGGCTCACAGCCTTAGGAATGTAGAGAACCACTGCATTAGAGCCTACTTCTTTGGGATTCCAGCATCTACAGAAGACCATTTGAGACATCCAGCCTCATAGAGTGAGCAACTTCTGGATTCTTGGATTTTGTGTTCATAGGCAGCCATTGTTGGACTAGCTGGATCACAGCTTGCAAGTCGTTCTAATAAATATTCTTCCAATAGTCAGAGAAGATTCATTCTATACTTTACTCTAGAGAATCCTGAGAAATACAGTGACTTATGGGGACAAGGAAGGACAAGATGCAGGCAAAAGGCCTGTGAGTCATGAAAGAAATTATGAAGAAAATGTTTTTTCTGGTGTCAGTTCTGTCATAAGTTTTTTTTATTTAGTGGTGAATAAATTCATAAACATGAAATTGACAGTGAAATTCTAAAACCATAATCAAAGTTCCATGACTTCAGAATAGCTGTTTCAACTGTGTCAAAGTGCAATGAGATACCTAGATTTTGGGACTTGCTAAGTGTTTGAGGCTAGTAGAATATGCCAAATTTGCTTTTATTATATTTAGGAATGAGCCTTGTATCCCTAATCTCTCCAAGACCTTTATCATAAAGGGGTGTTGAATTTTGTCAAATGCTTTTTCCGCATTTGACATCTAATGAAATGATCATATGTTTTTTCCCTTCAGTTTATTTATTTGATGGATTACATTGATAGATTTTCTTATGTTGAACCAGCTCTGCATCTCTGGGATGAAGCCTACTTGATTGTAATGGATAATTTTTTAATGTGTTCTTGGATTCTGTTTGCCAGAATTTTATTGAGAAATTTTGCATCGATGTTCATGAGAGAGAATGGTTTGTAATTCTCTTTCTTGGTTGGGTCTTTGTGTTGTTTTGTAATCAGGGTGACTGTAGCTTCATAAAAAGAGTTTGGCAATGACAATTCTGATTCTATTATATGAAACACATTAAGGATTATAGGTATCAGTTCCTATAGGTATCAGATTCTTAGAGGAAGGAGGAATCTGGGCATGCTTGGACATGTCACTGCCATTCAGTGCACACACCTAAAGTGCCCCTGCTCACACCTCCCCTCACCTTCCTTTCTGGACTCCTACAGTAGACCTCCTCCCCCCGCGTGCTTTTTCATTCATAACCTCCAGGCTGTCAGAAATTCTCCCCTTTCCTTAGGACACAGGTATACTCCTTCAGGTCTCAAAGGATTCTGTGGCATCAGGGAACAATCTCTGTTCTACTTTACCTAGTATTGCATCTCAGGTTTTTCAGTAGGTCGGGGATGGGAGATTGATCCCACCTCTAAATCCATCTACAGTTTCAGTTTATGGTAAATGATGGGAAAAGGACATTGGAGATTGCTATTTTAAAACCGTATCCTTTCATTTTGGAAAACGTTTATGTTTCATTCTTTAAATCTCTTTCCCTTTAATTTAAAACTTTTAAAATTCATTTTACGTGTATGTGTGTTTTGCCTGCTTGTCTGTGCACCACATGCATGCCTGCCGTCCACAGATATCTGAAGAAGGTGTTGAATCCCCTGGACCTGGACTCAGGCAATTGTGAGCCACTGTGTGGGTGCTGGAAATGAACCGAGTTCTCTCTCTACAAGGGTAGCAAATGTTCTTCATTGCTGAGACATGAGTATACCCCTACTTTAATATTTTTTGTTTAGGAATAGAATACTTCTTGAAAAATAGAGTTCACAATTATTGTTAGATCAACGGTCTAATGGCAGTCTCAGGAGATCAGGCTAAGTTCCTCTAGGTGGACAGGCCTCTGCTGTGGTGGAAATACTGGTCTGGGAGGTGGGGGACAAACTGAAGAGAAAAGCCTTCTAACCAGGTCTCCCTTGAATCCCTGAGCCCTAGCCCTTGCCATCCAGTGTGCACCTAATGTGCCCCCACCTCCTACCAGGATTCTCAAACAGACTGAAGAACCCACCCTCCTTATGGTAGAGCATCAGGTCTTGGTCTGCTTTGCTGTCCCCAGCTTTGAGTTGTGGCTAGGCCCTCAAGTACCACCAAGTCACTTATTCCCCAAGTAGCCAAAACACCTACTGGGAGAAATTACAAATGTAAAGATTTCCTTCCTTCTTCAGAATTTTCTTTGGGCTGAAAACTGCAACCAAGTTCTCATGGCAATGGGCAGAAGTCCATAAAGCAACTGACTTCAGTGAAAGTTGGGGACCCAGCTCTCTCGAACTCTCTGAAGCCTCTCTGACGCTTTCACCTCCTCTGACTAATACCAAAAGAGAAAGCTCATGAACAATACTACTGTTTCTCAGCTAAACCAAGCGTTTCTGAGGGATTAGGCGCTAGATAAATAGCATGAAGGCTATAGGAGAGCCCATGACTAAGCAATAAAGATGGAGAACTTTCAAGATGGTGGCTTCTTCATCACCTTCCAGAACTGAGACCAAGCCTAGGGCTGCTTAAAACAAAGTCCTGGGAAGCTCTTTCTCCTGCCAGTGGGGCCCCCTGCTGATGAAAGAGTGAACAACATCTCACAATCAGAGTAGGATGTGTGTTTGGATTGATACATTAAAATTAACACATTCATTGTTTCATTATAGTGAATATATTAGAAATCATCTCAGCTATTTTTAGAAACACTGTGTTATTGTGAACTGTAGTCATCCTACTGAGTCTTTTAATACCAGATCTGACACCACTTTACTGTAAATATTGTCTACTTCCTCTCTACCTCCCCAAGAGATATTTGTACTTGATTGTGTATTATAACACTATAGCTTTGGAGCCTGTCCTGGAACTAGATCTTGTAGATCAGGCTGGCCTTAAATTCACAGAGATCCGCCTGCCTCTGCCTTCCGAGTGCTGGGATTAAAGGCATGCACCACCACTGCCCGGCTCCAAGATTTCCTTTCTATAGGGGGTGTGAGGAGCTAGGAGGAGAAGCCAAGGGAAATCAGATTGCTCACAGGCTGAGAAGTGCTGGAGTTGGAAATGAGCATGTGAGGATTATTGAGCTACTTTCTGTATTTTTGTATGACTGGAAAGAGTGAAGGTCGAGAGTTTTGTGTGGACCCAAAATCCAAAGGCCACATTTTAGTGCTTAAAGCCTTCCAGTCCTACATGTCCTTCTCCTCCGCTGCTAATGGAATAGAGGCGTTTTAGTACTTTTAGATATGTGAAAATGAGTAAAATGCAATGGTTAAACTCAGTGGAAATTTTGTAAAAAGTATAATTTGCATTCAGTAAAATTAATTCATTTGTTATAAATTTTCATGAATTTTGAAAGCATCTAATCATGAATTCTTCATCAAGATATATAGGGACTAGAGAGTTGGCACAACCATTAAGAGCATTTATTGCTCTTGCAAATTTGATTTGATTCCCAAGACCCATATGGTGACTCACACACACCTCTAACTCCAATTCCATGGACCCAACACACTTTTCATAACCCCCCAACTCTAGGCAAGCACATAGCACACATATACACATGCATGTAGACAAAACAGTCATGTATATGAAATAAATCTAAAACAATAGCTTATAAAGGACATATAGACTCCCTCCACCCCAGTCCAACTTCCCCATTCTCAGTTGCAGACTCTTTATGCCTCTGTCCCCAGCCCTTACACACTTACTTTTCCAGAATGCCATACAATGGATCCCTGAAGAAGAGACTTCACTCGTGCCTCTTTCACATTGTCTCAGCATTCCATTCTGCTCTTCAGTCAATGCTGTGCCGATCAATAGCGTGCCAGGTACATGGCTGGCTAGATTCTAGGGCACTGTATCCATAGCACCACTGAAAGAAACAAACAATGCTCTGAATTCAGAAGCATGCGAGCACCACACAATTATTATACAAAGAAGTTGCAAAATAGCTGGCAGGAAACTTGTGGAGAAGTGAGAAGATTAAGCAAGTTGTGGGAGTTGGGGGTTCTTTCCAAAATAAACTGGAAGGAGACTGTTTTCTGTGGGTCGCTGCCTTTAAGGTTGCTTAAGCTTGCTGATTAGTATAGGAACAGGAATGTCTGAGTCAGAAGCCTTTGGGACATTTGGGCTGGTAAAGTGGTGTAACAACTAGGCAAGTAGAAATGACCTGGTGAGCCAGATGAAGGTGGGGGCAGCCCTGGGCACCTGGGAGCTGCCAGAAAGGCTGCAGGAGTGGACTAGGGTGTGTTGGGCACAGGAGGTAGGCCAAGATGGCCCGACCTAGGAAGTCCCTGGAAGGGAGCTAGTGCCTTGGGTTCCTGCTGTGCCAGGTCCCCTGCTGGGTGTGCATCCCTGTAAGTGCAGCCTGGCAGAGTGCCATATTCTGGACTAAATGAAAGCAGGCAGAGGCATGTCTGCCTGAGGAATGTGGGTGCAGCGACTGACACATACACAGGGAACTTGGCAGAAAATGACAGCGCTGTCGAGCAACTCTAGCAAACAGTTTGCTTCCTACAGGTAGAAGATGTATTATAGCATTGCCGAGAATATTTAATTAAAAAATGAATGCAGAGAGCTGTGTTCGGTTGTTGAGTTTTGCTGAGCTCTTCGGCTGTGAAGAGCTAAAGCAGAGTACTGAAAGAATGGAGGAGCTGAGTTCTCTGCTGTGTCCACCAGGAAGGCTTTGTGCAGCTCCCCCATGACCTCCTGATAGACATTCTCAGCAGTGGCAATCTAAATGCAGAAAAGAAAGAAACAGCTTGAGAAGCTGCGATGCTGTGGCTGGAGTATGACACAGTCTCACGATCCCAGTATTTGTCTTCGGTTTTAGCCAAATCAGAATTGATGCACTTTCAGAAGTCACACAGTGTTCAACGCATTGCCCATAAAAATCCCAGCAAAATTCTTCAAAGACCTCGAAAGAACAGTACCCAAATTCATACAAAAAAGCAAAAGACCTAGGATAGCCAAAACAGTCCTGTACAATAAAAGAACTTCTGGAGGCATCACAATCCCTGACTTCACACTTTACTACAGAGCTACAGTACTGAAAACAGACTGGTATTAGAATAAGAACAGACAGGAGGACCAATGGAATCTAATAAAATACCCAGATATCAATCCATACATCCTTGAACACATGATTTTTGACAAAGAAACAAAAAATATCAAATGGAAAAAAGAAAGCATATTTAACAAGTGGTGTTGGCATAACTGGATATAAACATGTAGAAGAATGAAAATAGACCCATATCTATCACCATGCATAATACTCAAGTCCAAATGGATCAAAGACCTCAACATAAAGCCAGCCACACTGATCCTTATAGAAGAAAAAGTGGAAGTACATTTGAACGCATTGCCACATGGAACCACTTCCTAAATATAACCCCAGTAGCACAAACAGAGAAACAATTAATAAATGGGACCTCCTGAAACTGAAAAGCTTCTGTAAAGCAAAGGACACGATCAACAATACAAAACAACAGCCAACAGAATGGGAAAAGATTTTCACTAACCCCACATCAGACAGGTCTGATCTCCAAAATATACAAAGAATTCAAGAAATTGAACACCAAAAGATCACATAAGCCAATAAAAAAAATGGAGTACAGACCTAAACAGAGAACTCTCAATAGAGGAATCTAAAATGGCTGAAAGACACTTAAGGAAATGTTCAACATCCTTAGTCATCAGAGAAATGCAAATCAAAACAACTCTGAGATTCCATCTTACACCTATAATAATGGCCCAAAACCCTGATGACTACTTATGCTAGAGAGGTTGTGGGGAAAAGGGAACACTTCTGCATTGCTCATGGGAATGCAAGCTGGTACAACCCCTTTGGATGTCAGTGTGGCAATTACTCAGAAAATTAGGACACAACCTTTCTCAAGACCCAGTAATACCACTTTTGGGTATATATCCAAAAGAAGCTCAATTGTGCCACAAAGACATGTGCTCAACTATGTTCATAGCAGCATTGTTTGTCATAACCAGAATGTAGAAACACCCTAAATGCGCCTTGACTGAAAATGGATAAGGAAAATGTGGTACATTTACACAATGGAGTACTACACAGCCGAAAAAATAGCAACAGCTTGAATTTTGCAGGAAAATGGATGGAACTAGAAAACATTTTGAGTGAGGTAACCTAGACACAGAAAGACAATTATCATATGTACTCACTCATTGGTGTTTTTTAAACATAAAGCAAAGAAAGCCAGCCTACAAACCACAATCCCAGAAAACTTAGACAACAATGAAGACACTAAGAGAGACTTACATAGATCTGATCTACATGGGAAGTAGAAAGTAGAAAAAGACAAGATATCCTGGGTAAGCTGGGAGCATGGGGACCTTAGTGGGGGTTAAAGAGAGGAGGGGAGAGGCAGGGAGGGGAGCAGAGAAAATAAAAAAAAAGAAGTCACACAGAGAGCTTGATTCCAAGGGCCCCCACCCAGTGATAAGCCTGCTGTGGATCAAGGTCTGTATAAGCCCATGGCCAAGGTTTTCAAACTGACTTTGGATGACTAAGGAGGAGATGATGATTTCCATTGAAGCATCATCAGAAAACCCTTGTAGTCTTTACTCTTCTGTCTGTTATAGCCCCCAGGCTGAAAAGGTTTCCAAGTTCCCCAGCCTGCCAGCTGATTTGCCTAAGGTTGGGGCAATTGTAACCTATGATAATGATATTCACATAGCAGGTGGTCAGGTGCCCCTGAAAAACACAAAAACAAATCACAGCAACACAGGCAAACTGCAGATCACCTTCAGAACTGTGTTCCTTTTACTGGTTTGATGCACAACAAAATGCCTGGTTTTCAAAGACACTGATTCTCTTCATCTGTGTGATGCCATCCTTGGTTTGCTATGAAGACTATATCTATGCAATTGTGGAGACAGTTATGGTGGAGAACTTAATCGGAGGACTGTAGAAAGATACGACACTGAGAAGGATGAGTGGACAGTGGGGAGCCTCTTCTGCTGTGCTTGGCAGTGGAGAGCAGCCGTTGTGGTTCATGACTGCATTTATGTGATGACATTGAACCTCAGGTACTGTTACTTTCCGAGGTCTGAGTCACAGGTAGAGACGGCCTTGGGGCAGACTAGCAGATCTTTTGCTTCAGCTGAAGCTTTTGACGATAAAATTTTCTCCATTGTAGGGTTGCATATTGCTATCAGTTCTGGCATAAGAGTCCCTTCTAGCAGTGTAGATGGGTCTTCAGCAACTGGAAACTTATGATGTAAATAAAACTGAAAGGTAGATGGCGGCAAACATCCCTACTAAAAGTTACTCTGATCCCTGTGTTAAAACTGTTGTGATTTCAAATTCTCTTTGTGTGTTTATGCGAGAAACCCATTTAAATGAATGAGCTAAATATGTCACCTGCCGGTATGATTTGGGACTTAATCGGTGGTCTCTGCAGCAGCACATATCTGAACGTGTACTGTGAGATCTGGTGAGAGATTTTCGATGCACTGTGGGGAAATATCCATCCTGTCTTGAAGAGTCTCCATGGAAGCCACCAGCTTACTTTTTTTTCACCAGATGGAACCGAGGAATTTCAACTGGAAGGAGAAATGGTTGCAGTTCCCCCTGTATAGGGGAGTTGAGGGGTGCACATGCCAGATTAGGGATATCCTTCGCTAAACCAGAGGATATAAAAGGACTAAGTATGAGTACATAAAAATCTATCTTTGATACATTTTAATTTTATGGCCTACTTAATATTTGCATCAGTGTAATATATATCTGTGTGTTATACAGAAAGATATGCTTCTGTAATATGAAATAGATTATTTGATAATTGAGAGACTTTGCTGTGTATCATGTGAGCATAAGAGTCTGGATTATCTAACTTGTTAGCCTTGTGTATGTACAGTTCTGAACTTCACTTTTTTTACTTATTTATTTATTTATTCATAAAAATTTCCACGTCCTCCCCTCCTCCCAATACCCTCCCACTCCCCCCACTCCCTCTCCTCCTCCCTCTCCAGTCCTAAGAGCAGTCAGGGTTTCCTGCCCTGTGGGAAGTTCAATTTCGTCCCCCCTCCCTCCAGATCTAGGAAGGTGAGCATCCAAACAGACTAGGATCCCAAAAAGCCAGTACATGCAGACGAAACAAGTCCCAGTGCCATTATCAATGGCTTCTCAGTCAATCCCCATGTCAGCCACATTCAGAATCCGGTTTGATCACATGCTCATTCAGCCCCAGTCCAGCCGGCCTTGGTGAGATCTCATTAGTTCAGTCCCCTTGTATCAGTGGGTGAACGCACCCCTTGCAGTCCTGACTTCCTTGTTCATGTTCTTCCTCCTTCTGCTCCTCATTTGAACCTTGGGGGCTCAGTCCACTGCTCCAGTGTGGATCTCTGTCTCTATCTCCATCCATCGCCAGATGAAGGTTCTATGGTGATATGCAAAATATTCATCAGTATGGTTATGGGCCAAGGCCAGTTCAGGCACCCTCTCCTCTGCTGCCCAGGGAACAATCTGGGGACCTCTCCTTGGACCTGGGAACCCCTCTAGAATCAAGTCTCTTGCAAACCCTAAAATGGCACCCTTAGTTGAGATATATACTTCCCTGCTCACATGTCCATCCTTCCTCCCTCCCCCCATCCCATTCCCCCAAGCTATCCCCAATCCTCCCCTTCTCCCTTCTCTCTAACCATCTCCCCTTACATCCACCGCCCCATCCCCCGTGCACCCACATTTGCCTGGCAATCCTGTCGACTTCCAATATCTAGGAGGATAACTATATGATTTTCTTCAGGTTCACCTTCTTATTTAGCTTCTCTAGGATCACGAATTATAAGCTCAAAGACATTTAATTATGGCTAGAATCCACTTATGAGTGAGTACATACCATATTCCTCTTTTTGGGTCTGGGATACCTCACTCAGTAAAGCGTTTTCTATTTCCATCCATTTGCATGCAAAATTCAAGATGTCATTGTTTTTTACCACTGAGTAAATCTCTAATGTGTATATGTTCCACACCTTCTTTAACCATTCTTCTATTGAGGGGCACCTAGGTTGTTTCCAGGTTCTGGCTGTTACAAATAGTGCTGCTATGAACATAGCTGAAAAAATGCTTTTGTAGTATGATAGGACATCTCTTGGGTATATTCCCAGGAGTAGAATTGCTGCGTCCTGAGGGAGGTTGACTCCCAGTTTCCTGAGAAACCGCCACACTGATTTCCACAGTGGCTGCAAAAGTTTGCATTCCCACCAACAATGGATGAGTGTTCCCCTCCCTCCACATCCTCTCCAGCATAGGCTATCATTGGTGTTTTTGAGTTTAGCTATTCTGACAGGTGTAAGATGGTATCTCAAACCTGTT